GAGATTGAAGACCGAAGGAACCAGTACTGCTAGAAGAATGCGGGTAGTCTCACAACGACGTAACGCAGGAAGAAGCAATACATCCCCAGGGCCCTTAAAGAAAAGGAACACACTGAACGCGTTGGTCGAACGCTTGCAAGTATGGGATGGAACGTGCGGTGTGGAATCTCTCTTTGGTACATGGACCAACAATTTTACTTGTTTTGGTTCTGCTGCGCTCGGGTGCACACTTGCAGTAAAACCTGTTCCTAGGCCGCTACAAGACGTTTTGAGGCTTGCAAGCGCAACCCCGAATGCCACGAAAAATGCTCACCGGCTCCAACATGTGGACTATCAGAAGGCTTGAAATAACAGTTCCTGAACCAGTCAGTCGGTTCCATAGTCCATCCATGATTCCAACAGACATGTTTCCTGCCTCACAAAGACTTCAACTGCAACCGCAGACATTTCAAAGCACTTGTGGTGTCTCACGGTGCGCGACAAGAGCGCTCGCAACTGTGCACCCCCTAAGAATTTGCAGCAGGCACGCCGATGAACATGCTCGACCTCATTGGCTGAGCTTGGGATCGTACAGGAGAAAACCAGAAGTCGGGGGCTCAACCAGGAAACCATGCACCCGTCACACTTCCCGTGTTCTGTTCCCGGCCTGCAGTGTGCTCCAGCAGGCGGCCGCATAAGAGGAGGAGCTGCCCCTGAACCTGCTCGGATTTCGGATTTGACATTCTTCCACATCCGTAACCCCCTGAGACAGCCTCTATAGGCACAAAGGTGTGGTGCTTGCGGCGCCTCCCACCACTCATCCCGAACGAGGCTGACGAAGTTGTGCACTTCCTGCAGCACCTTACAGCCAGTCGAAGGATGCACCAACAATGCTAGTCAATCCACAAGATCCTGTCCTTTCTCAAAGCGGGTTAAGTTTTGAACCATCTAACAGTCTTTAACATCGAGGTTTACATGGAACTTGAGTTTTCATGTCAAGTGCCTCTGAGAGCCTTTGTGCTCTTATTCAGCGTCTGGACTTAGTTTTGCAGGTTTACACACGAAAGCTCATCACCTGCGTCGCTGCGGCATTCCCTAGGCTGTCGGATCAGCGGCGAAGGGCATTTAGGGGACTGATGATTTCGAGCTGCGGATACTAAGGTTCAAGTTGTAGTCACTCCCCGATCCCAAAACAGTGAAAAGCCTGTGGCCCTATTGTAAACCCCACCGAGAAAAAGAGAGAGAGGCCCTGGTCGAAAGCGTCTCTGCAGATCAACCGCAAATGTGTTCCAAAGTCTTCCAAGGCCTCCAGGCACCGAACTCTGAACTGTCAGCAACCCGATGAATCTCTAAATCCCGACTGAAGCTTTGGACCCGTGCCCACACCCCCAACATCACGAGCTCTCTCCCTTAATCAACAAGGGGGCTGTATGAAAGGATGCCCTCTTGGCCCCCAAGCGTTGTGGGCAAAGTGCGGCGACTGGACCGAAACCTTGCTTTGGTTTGAACTTGGGAAGAAACTGTCTTGGCTCTTCACTCGCTTCCTCTCTTCCGAGCCATGTGGCCATGGAGTAGAAAAACAGCACAACAAACGACTATCTGTGCTGGCAAAGTCCGTGAGTTGACAAGAAAATCGGGCCGGCAAAGAGCCGCAGCTCCATAACCCGCATGCCTCTGTGAAGGGTTCGCGTCAGCCTCCTAACCTATACCTGCACCTTGCTACCTATCCCCGTATACCCCCCCCCAACCCCCAACAAAAAACAAAGAGCTTGAGTTCTGGAATCCCTCGAAGCCCCAGGCCTAACACCAACAAGCCCCAACACCGTCTCAACACCGTCTCAACATCTCCTAAAATCCCGGAAGCTGCCTCTGAGGCCCAGCATCCTTTTTGAGGCCCCTGCAGCGCTGAGCATTGTCAGGCCGGCCACGCGGACGCTGGGCTCTTGGCTCTGCAGCGCCACCAGCGCATAGTACCTGCGAGAGCACGCAGGCACACGCACCTTGCAAGTTCTTGTGAACTTTGACTTAGGGAGCTTCGCTGGGCTTCTGCCAGAGGAGCACTCGGGAGTGTTGCGGGCTTGAAGCCACGATCTAGCCGCAGAGCCGTACAAACAATTTCGTTTGCCAGGCTTAATCGGGTTCAAGTCGACTGCTCGGCCCAGAAGCCGACAGTAGGGACCTGGACCTAAGGCCCAACAAGTTCAAAGTCCCAACTTCTGAAATTATGGCGCCAAAAACACCGAACAAGCTTGCAATATCAAATCTGGCTGCTCAGACAACTAGCCTGCGGGCTTTTAGGGGGCTTAGGGGCTTCGGGGAGGGTGTCCCAGGCCATCTTTCCAGAATGTGACGGGGGGGGGGGGGGGGGGGGGGGGGCACTGGTAGTGACGCAGCAGGTGCTCGTCATCAAGACCTTAGGGCAACTATACAGCTGCATCCCCTCGTTACCTCTGCACGCATGTTGCGACTGCATCCCTGGCCTATCGAAAGAATGCAGCCGCAACGAGTGCAACTACACAAGAAGTTTGACCAGTAGTTGCACGAAACCGGCCCCAAACCGACGACCACGTGGACTGCGCGCAACTTCAAACGCATTGTTGCTAAAGCGTGATCCTGACTTGGACCACCCTTTTGTGGTGCATACTCTTGGATAGTATCGCAAATAGCGAGGCGTTAGCTTGCAACACACTGCGACACACTGTGCCTGCGGCACGACGCCAAAGCTGGGATTAGGGCGTGTGTGGGCTGCAATGGCCTGCCCATTGGTTACGTTTATTTGGCACGCTGTAAGTACAGCTGGGTCTTCATTGGGCTCCACTTCTTGAACTTATCACCCTCAACGCCATATTTAAACGCCGCATGATGTGGGCGACAACCCCGAAAGCCCTCGACCCAGCTCCAGCTCCATCGGCAGAAAATAGGAAAGGCAGCAGATGTAGGCCTTGGCTTCGGAAGGTCTCGGGAACTTGGCTGAGGTTGCTGTATGCAGTTCCAATTCCAAGTTTTTGTCGGAGTCTTCCTTTCAGGATGTCAGGGGTGATCCCTGACTCGTAGAGCGCCTCCATGGCATCGGGTTGGGCTTCAGAGGCTTTGTGTACGAGTGGGCTTCCCATTGAACCACGAACCCTGAGTCCCCGACCCTTCTCAGGGGCGAGGCCCGACACCCTGAGCATGCCAGAACTTTCCGGAATTAACCGGATCTTTCACCAACGGAAAGAACCTTAAGCCTGAGCAAGCTAAGCCCTTCAAGGCCCTTTAAACTCCCCTCTCTCCACCTCAAGAGCTCTCAGGGGCTGAGGCCGGCATGCTGTCCATCCCTTCCTTCAGGCCCCGCAGGACATTGAGTCGCGCAAGGACCTGGCCAACACATAAAGCTTGGGTGTTGTTTTTAGGGTTTGGAGGTGAGGGTTCAGGTGGGGTTGTGAAGTAAGACCAAAACCCTTTACACCTAGGAACAGGTCGGTGCCCGGAACTCTCTCCTCTTCTCGGCTTCTTTGCCATCGAGGTTGGGTCAAGGCAAAGGCAACAACACAACTTAACACAACAGAATGTTCCCCTGAACTAGCCATGCAGGGCCTTAACCTTACTCGGAACTTGCCCCCCCCCCCCCAACTAAGTAGCCCGAACCCGACAAACGATTTCGCTAGAAGCTGAAGACTTGTGCCCATGCCCGGGAGCTCGCCTGCGGCTGGGTATATGCGTAGACCTCAGCTCGGCCAGAGTTCAAGTTCTGGCAGGAACCGACTTGTGTGAGGTGATTCCAGTAACCGATGTTGAGGAAGTTGCTATTTCTGGGAGACGTTCCAAGGCTGCACGTATAGTTACAGTTGAAGTAAGCTGTGAAAATTGCCATGCTGGCAAACTAAACCTGATAGGAGCCATGAACGCGATTGCAGACACGTGTCACGGGACGCGTAAAACACAAACGCACGGCTGTCTTTTTTTCTGTACCTTCTCAAAAATGACGACAGTTACGAAGATGGCGAACCCCACGTGCCTCATTCTCGTAGCTGTCAGCACTGTTGAGGCGCGAACGCGAAACGAAGCTCCGAAAGTGACGACTCTCGCAAAGATGGCGTGCCCCGGGTGCCTCATCCTCATAACTGCCAAAACCTTTAACGAAGGAAGCTCCAAAAGTGACGACCGTTACGAGGATTAGGGCACCCCAGAGGCCTACTACAGCTCATGCGCGCCGCTCGCTGATGCTTCGTGGAGGCTTCCCGGACACAAACGCACAATGTTTGGGATTAAAACCGGAAACTTCTTGCCGTGCATTCAGAAAAAGCCCTCACTGGTCTTGAGTCTTAGAGTCTTGAGCTAATTAGCGCAACCCGGCAATCTCCGCGGCTGCCAAAACCCGGGAGCCCCGGCGACTTCGCAGAGTGGCTCCCGCTTTCCGGCGGTGTCGACCAAGAGCGGAGAAAGGCTTGGGAGGATGCCGTCCACCTGGGAGATTTAGACTTTGAGGGCTCAGAAGGCTTAGGGCGACAGGCTGTTTCTAGTGTTTGGGAGTTTGTCCGGCTCGGGCTCCGAACTTTGCGATTTTTGAGCACCGGAGAAGGGGGCTCTAGGAAAAGGGGGGGCTCTGGGATGCCTTGGATCCTTGCTTGACATCCTTGGGTCAGCAATTATTGCGGACGTAGCTTGGCAAACATGAGTAGTGATGTTGGGTGCTGATTGGGGCAAGCCCACCCCCCGCCCACCCTTACAACATTTTTCCCCGCCTTTAGGGGTGGGTGGTAAAAGGAACTCAGACGGCTCGCTCTAAACCGTTGCTCAGGTTCAGAAGCGATTTTCTAGACCAACTCTATTCAAAAGCCTCGCCGAAATGTCGCATCTCGGGGGGACCAAATCAAATGATTCCCGCGCGCGGAATCATGTCTCAAAAAGAGGCTTCACAGTTCCGGTGGGAATATAACAACTAACTGCATACTTTCGGAACCATCATGGACCGGCAATGTAATCCATCTCTGAATCCTAGAGATGCCTGATCCCTGGCTCGAGATTTCTTCTTTGCGATCTCAGGCCCTGGCCAGAAGCTGCTGCGTCAGCGTGGCATCCGCCTGGGTCAGGGTTCGGGTGCCATGGGGTTCTCAGGAGTCGAGAAGTCAAAGGTGCACCGTGAATCGAGTTACGTCGCGTTTCCAGGATTCGGTGCCTTGGACATTAAAGCCACGGCAGTCGGTGCTGTGGTGGTGTCCGCTGCCGCTGCTTGCTCTTGAAATGAAGACCATCAAGTGGCAAGGGAATGCCACTTTCACTTTGCACCACCAGTTCTTGCTTTGCAACGTTGCTGAGGTTTTCTGCAGGGCTCAGGCACAGGGTCTGCAGGGTCTGTAGAGGAGTGGCGGGCCCGTGGCTCACAGCCCCCTTCTTGGACCCGCACCTCACTCATCAGCTGGCCAAGGCTTTTGAAGAAGGTGATCACGCTCTCGAAGACGGGATCTGGCGCGATGCGGACGTCTTGGCTATGCTATGTGGGGCACACCGGGGACAATCTACCAAAGAAAATGCCTCAGTCCGCGTGATCCCAAGCAAGAAAGCCCCAAGCAGCTCGCCGAGCCACTTCGCTCGCTGAACTCCACCAACGTCGGGCTAAGCAGTCGCCAGACCTCGTTCCAGCTCTTGACTGGTGGTGGGTTTGCTTCGTGGGTATGATGGGGCCTCTGAAGGTTGAGCTGTCCTTCGGTCTAAAGGACGAGATTGATTTATGGTTTTTGGAACTCCGGGTTGAGGGCCCAGGCACCGCGAACGAGTCGCATCGATCAGCCTGATGCAAAGTGTGCACGGCGCAAGTTGCGGCCACACGCAACAGAAGCTGACAGGCATACAGCGTCTCACCCAATGCGCATGTCCGCAAAGCCTTGACCGCACCCAAATGGAGAACGTCTAAATTTGTTCACGCGCGCGCGCGCGCCCACCCAACCAAGTGCATCTTTTGCCGTGCGACTCGATTCATGCTGCTAGCGCATTTGCCCAACAGCATTGCCTCCAAAATGTAGATCTTCTTTGCAAAGAATACAAAGAGCTCTTCTGCTACGCACTGCTTGCCGATGCGGCCTGTGCCATCCTGCTGTCATGCATCTACTTGCCACAAGTGCTAGGGAGGGTGGGCTGTCACAGAGAAAACCTACGCCGCACAAAAACACAAAACCCAAAAGCACATAAGCCCCTTGCACCTGTATGTGCAGCATGAACAAGCTCTTCAAGGCTTTGTCGTCTTGGCATCCGGCCCTCCAGAACTCGGCTGGAGACTTCAGCACGGTCTCGGTCAGAAGGTGCGCCTCCGCGGAAAATCGGGAAATCGAGCCCTAGGTGTTAGGGCCCTATCTTCTGCCGGGTTCTTGGTAGCTGTGTGCAGGGGATCCCCCGTGCGGTTATGTAGCTTCTAGGTTCATCCGAAATGAAAGAGCTTGTGGCACCAGCAAGCCATCGACTCAACAACCTAACCCTCACACCAAGGGGTTTTTGTTGTGTTTTTCAAGGTTTGGGTGCTTGGAGTGGTATAGTTCAGGGTGGCAGACCACAGCGCACCTGGCCAGATAGCGTGTGAAACACGCGCACGACGATCGGCTGCGGCACGTGAGTTCGGCAGAGCTCCTTGGAAAAGCTGCGCGGGCTGAAATTTCTGGACCACCAAGGAGTTCCAGTGTTCATGTTGCTTTGCAGAGACCCAGTTCAAATTCGAAAGCCGACTCTTGAATGTTCCAAAGCTCGGTGCAATTACAACTAGTGCCGACATCTTAGGAGCAAAGGTCTCATGCCTCGATGGGTTTGCCACATCGAACCGCTCTACTCTGGGCAGCTTCTCGGATTTTTTGGAATGTGTTGGTCCACGTGGCAACATCCAGTGAACTCTTCGCGGCTGAATGGCTGTGCTTTGCATGTGCTCTTTAAATTGGCATTTTGGAGGGCACGGAGGTGGCAAGCCCTTGGCGGAGGTTTCGCGTCTCGGAACTGGCGTTTGCAAAAGACTCGCGGCAAGTTTTTCGGAGTGCGCTTAGAGCTTAGGGTACAGGAAGCTTGGTCTGGGCTGCAGGTTGGGGTTCGCTAACCCTACATGAAGCCCTCAAATCAGTCCAGAACCCCCCATGTTCAGATTTCAACTAACCCGCCACATCTACGCACTTCTTTGAAGGCCCAGGAAGCTCCGGGAAGCCTGAAAGCCCTGAGCTTCTGCCCTTCAGGAGACCTCAGAGCACATTGAGGGGTCAACTTTGAGGCGTTACCTTACGGTGCAAGTAGCCTTTAAGTTTCTTGAGGACCCTCTCATATCCCAGAAACCTTGCACACGGACATCCTGCACCCTCACACGAACCTGGGCCTCCGGCCATAAAGGAGACTAAGACATCCTTCCGTGGATCCAGAGACTTCATCACCTTCGGCGAGACTCGGGGGGGTTAGGTGACTAGGGTTTAGGGGTTTGGGGTTTAGGCTTTAGGGTTTAGGGTTAGCCAGAAGGGGATGAGGGGGGCCCCTAGCTTGAAACACCCCAAGCCGGCGACAAGCGATTTCAGCCCTCTTTCCCAAGCATTCCGAAACCAGGTGGTTCTGCACTCCGCCTGATCATTCTCTTGGAGAATGGCCGCCACAGTCGGCCGCATGATGTCCACCTCGGCGTCTCAGGGCCAAAACCCGACAGAGATAGCAGAGCTTGGGGCCATGGTCGGGTTGAGGGGTCTCGCGGCGTTCCTTCCGTGAGGCACTCACAAGGGCCCTGATGCGAAAGTATAAGAGCTCAGATCGCCATGCCGTAGCATGAACCCCATGAACTCCATTCCCCCCCTGAGTTAAAGACTGCTCCTCCTCTGATCCTTCGGATTCGTAGGCAAACTCATCGTCCCGCCATCCCACACATCTGGGGCTGCGCGCCACCGGCTTCACGGCGATGCCCAGGCCCAGTGAGGGGGTCGAGGGGCCGTTCTCGATGGCCCCGCTGGCCCTGGAGGAGGGTCGGAGCTGGAGTTAAGTTTTCGGGTTTCGGGTTTAGGGTTTTTAGTTTTTAGGGTTTAGGGTGAGCCCTAAACCACCTGTTTCGGATTACTGCAGATGCTCGGCATCTATTGCCGGATCGAGGGCTCTTGGGCTGCATGATGTTGACCTGATGTTCAGGGTTGCCAGAGCACAGGGGTTGAGACTTAAAATGCCCGGCGGTGTATGCCAATGAGTCGACCCTGTTTTGAGAACTTGCAAGTAAGGAGCATGTCAAGTTTCATTCCCATCACTAATAGAGTGGATTCTTTGCAGCTGCCGACTCTCAAACCGGAATATACTCACGAAGCTTCAGAGAAGTTGCTCTCTGGACTTAACAGATTATCCACGTCGATTCGCTTGTTCCTCTCCTTCTTGTCCGCTCACGTCATTCGTTCCGCGTCATACGACACTCCGTGAGCTCGCGAACAAGATCAGAAATAACTATTGCCATCTCAACAAAAACAAGTGAACGACGTGAGCGCATGATCTGCAGGAGCGTTCGTCACAGTAGGAAAATGAAAGAAGAAAAAACAACAAACTAACCAACTGCGCGCGTCAGTCATAGGCCATACCCAAGTCTTCATGGTTGCAGGGACATCAATTTCGCAACCATGACTGGTGCCAGGAGGACTACTAGTGTTGCGGGTCAGGTTGCGTGAGCTTTGGGCCGTGCTGACAGGTCGACAGTCCTGCTCCAACCTAATTAGGCCTCAACCTTCCACCAAGCAAACACAGTCCGCCCGGCTTTCTTTGGCTTGTCGAGGTGGTGCTCTTCTGCATGTTGGCCTGTGCCTGCCGAGAGGGCAGACGTTTGGGCGCCTTGGAGGTTTGTCGAGTTTCGAAGAGACTTAGAACTAGGGCCCTTCCCTTCATGCTCCTAATTATGGCTCTCCTAGGGCCCGAGGGTTGGGGCAACGAACACATGCATGGCTTGTGCCAGCCTGTGGCTTCGGGGGGGCGTGCACCACAAAACGGCAGGAAATGAGGCCAGAGAAAGCCCGAAATCCCAAACAAAGAGAACACAACCAAACAAAAAAAGAGAGGAACACATCATCTCCTGTCGCATTACCCTTTTCCAGGCTCGTACCTGACCCTAGACCTGAAACCTGGCAAAGCCCAGAGCTCATCAGAAACCCCGAGAGCCCCGAGAACCTCATGACCACTGCCCAATGAGTTCAATCCGCCCGGGCCGCCCTCGGCCCAACCCAAAGCCGACCAAACCGCGAGTGTTGGCGCCTGCTGCGCCCTCAGCTGCGCCACATTCCTCTTGCAGTGTTTCTGTTCGGCCAGGAATTTGGGATCAGTCGCTACCGGTATAAGCCCCCCCCTCCCTTTGATGGACGTGGCAAAACCTGTACGCGTGAGTGTGCCTCCACGCGTGAAGGTCCAAACCCCAACTATCAACACGCTTTAGGTGGCTCAGCCACCCACCGAGGCGTGCTTCACAGCACACCATCAAGCCGGGCGTCAACCACCAAATCAATCAGCGAAACAGGCTAAGGGAAGTCAGACGCAAAGAAAACGCCTCAGGCGCAGCATGGATCTTTGTCCATCCCCTTCATCTCAGACAAGCTGTGACGTTTTATGAGAAGATGTGCAAGGAAGCTTCGAGAAGAAGAGCGGTCCAAGTGTCCCAAATGCGCGCAAAAAACGACTTAGCCAAGGGTAGAACCAACAGAATGGGTTGGAAAGTGGGAGCCTCGGCGAACAGCCGCAACATTCACATTCCCTTCAAGAAGAACCCTATACATCCTACAGACTTCCCAGTGCTCCTGCTCAGTGACCGGGCAGAGACTTCAGGAATCTCCAGCGGTACCTGGCGGTGAACAGGGGAAAACCCCTCCGACGAGAAACCCCGGCCAAAGCCCTCCTCCAACAAAGATCATCCCCTCAGCAAGTAGCCCCGAGCCTCTAACTCACTGCAAGCCACATGTGATCAACCGGACGGCCACTACCGAATTGCAAGGAGCTACAAAAGCATGGCGCCCCAACAACCGAACCCCCAAAAGTCAGACCCTGAGCCCTGAGTGCCCCACCTCCCCCCGAAACCCTAAACCCTAAACCCTAAAGGTTTAAGGGTTTAGGGGTTTAGGGTTTAGGGTTTGGGGCCAAGACCCCAACCCTGGGGGTGGCGCGCCGCTTCGCCGCGCTCTGAGACGGCTCTGGGAACCGAGCGCTCAGCGGGTCGCTTGTGCCGGACAGCCTGGCATCTGGTGGGGGCTTCGAGGGCTGTACTCTTATTGCTCTTGTCATTATTCTTGTTATTGTGATTAGTAGAAGTATTGTGCTTATTGTGATTATTGCTAATTAGTTTTTTTGTTGTTATCGTGCTTTCAATTATTGTCATGTTTATTTTTATACTTGCGATTATTCTTGTTATTCCCTCCAGACGCATGTCCCCGCGCAAAACCGACATGCCGATTTCCTCGGTATTTACAGTGTTTCCTTAGGGTCACATGCCGAAACCCTCGCTGCCGTCGGTGTTTTCGGCTCCTCCACTTTTCGCCTTTTGGGACAGGCCCAAAACATCGGTCTTTACAGTGTTTCGCGCGTGTTGCACGCCGGAAACATCGGTATTCGCGGTGTTTTCCTCGTGTTACACGCCGAACACCTCCTTGATTCCGAGGTTTCCTAATCCTATTGCATCCATTGGTCGTTCCATGCTTTGGGGGGGGTGGGGGGGGGGCTGGGGGGGGGGTGGGGGGGGGGTGGGGGGGGAGGGGGGGGGGGTGGGGGGGGGGGGGGGTGGGGGGGGGTGGGGGGGGGGGGGGGGGGGGGTGGGGGTGGGGGTGGGGGGGGGGGGGGGGGGGGGGTGGGGGGGGGGGGGGCGGTGGGGGGGGGGGGGGGGGGGGGGGGGGGGGGGTGGTTACGTCCATCGCACACATGCTTCCAGTGCTTGGCAGTTCAAATGCTTCAACCTCAACTCTTTAAGCCCGAAACCCTGAAGTCTCGAACTTCCTGTGTGAGTATCCTCCTACATGATGTCGTGTTGACCGCTTTCATGACGGCGCGGCAATTCGCAGCTCAGCTCTAATGTAGTTGGTCCACGGTGCGTATTCCGCCGTGGTATTTGAGGTACTTTCGGACTTCAATGGGGGGGGGGGTAGTTACGTTCCTGGAACCTTACACCCACTTTAAGCCTTGGAGGTTGAGTTTGTGTTCGGCTTGAGGGCTATAAGGTTACGTTCCTGGAACCTTACACCCACTTAATGCCCTGGGGGTTGAGTTTGTGTTCGGGTTGAGGGCTATAGGGCAGAATCCTTCTGGTCCAGGATTGCTACGATGTGGGCTTACATTCGGCAAGGGTTTCGGGTTTGGGGTTTTGGGTTTCAAGTCTGTATGTACCAAGCACAGGGAGTGGTTATGCGCTTTCTGGCTTGTTGGGCTCCGCTGGCAATGTAGGACCTTTGTGGTGAGGCTCTTCTGACATAAAAAAACGTGAGACGTCTGCCGAATTTAGGGAAAAAACTTATGTTTTTACGCGCGTGTGATGCTTGCTTCAACTATCGATTGTATCGGTATTTACAATTTTTTCCTCTCTTCTCCAAACGTGCGCGCGCGGCCACATACGCCTGCGGCGTTCTTATATGATTCGTATGGAGTAAAATATTCATAACACTGCTGTTGCTATGATTATTGTTGTGATTCTTGTTATTGTTCTTAGTATTGTTACTGCACTTTGTCATGTTTGTTTGTTGCTTGTTGCTTGTTGCTTGGTCGCTGTCGTTGTCTGTTGTTGCTGCAGTATGTCTCATCGTTACCTTTATCTTGCCTTGGAGAGTTGGGTTGGGTTTCGCTGGGGGTTGGGTCCGTTTAGACGTTTCTCTCGTCTTGCTTAGCAGAACTCAGGCGCTCAGGCAGATACTGCCGATGCTTCTCTACGAGCCAAGCAGTATCGGCTCCGGCAACCCACTTGGTGTGTTGGGGCTGAAGAGGAGGCACAGCAATTGGGTCAGAGACGTTCATGGCTTATGGACTACACAAGGGCTGGCGGCTACGCAAGACGGAATCAACGCCCAACGGAGAAAACTTCGCACGATTCCCGCTCCTCCAAAGCTCACTCAATCTAAAGTTCAAAGTCTGAAGCCCGAACCTCAAGCTTCAGTTCAATTCCAAACAGGGCTTACTTTCCGCGACCCAAGCTCTGTAAAGTCTCAATGCCAACCTGGAAGATGTGGTATGCATCTGGCCGCGCGTCCCCCAGGTCCGCCCGGCTCTCTTCGATGGGCGGCTGCGCGTACAGGAGTCGTCGTTGTGTGTGGCTTGGGATTCAAGACATGCTCAAAACCCATGCAATCGAATGGTTTGAAGTAATGTTGCACCCGCAATGTCCTAGGGGGCCGCTATTATGAACAGTTTTTCGGCTATTCAGGATCTTGGCCCTTGGTTTTGGGGGTACACTATAATGAAAAGTTTTCGGGCCGCGACTGTCTTTTTTAATGGGACCCAGTTCTTAGTTTGAGATCTGGTTCAATCTCCTGACCCCTTCCCTGCCTGACTGTTTGGGTTTTTTTTTCTTCAGGGTCCTCGACTGTTTGGGGGGGGGGGGGGGTTACATGATTAAAGCAGGTCCAACATTAGGAGCCTTCGATGCCTGAAACCGAGCCCAAGGAGCCTCCACGGAGGAAGGCGCGACTGAGGGCTCCAGCAGCGTCTCCACTGCCACCTTCCCAAACGTGGGTTTAGGGCTTAGGGTTTAGGGTTTAGGGTTTAGGGTCTAGGGTTTAGGGCGTCACAGGCTTTTGGGGCTGACGATGTCGGCAAAGCCACCAACATCCAATTTCAAAACGAACCCTAGAATTACCCCCCATTTTCCAGGCCGATCAGAGTCTGCTTTTGTGACGCAAGACAGGGTGGCTTCAAACTCGCGATGATGGATGCTACATGCACGCCGTGCCATACAGGCATCGTTGTTAGGGGGGCCCTTTGGGGGGATTTCCCTCTGCTCCACCCAGGCTTGGACTCCCCCATCCCTCTGCCAATATCCTAGTTCTTGGTATTCGGTGGGAAAGGAAAACTGCCCCTGAATTCTGAGCATAAAAATTGCCTAGGATGGCCCTTCAAACCCTCTGAAAAATACTCCTAAATATGGTCCTCTTAAACCCAATAAGGGAAAATATAAAATATCCCAAGGGCCTACCTCGTTGCCAAAAGCCCTCCGAGGCGCTGGAGCGCTGCCCTGGCCTTCTTGTTCGGCGAGTTGCTGGGATCCAGGTTGTCGGGGATGTCCTGCGCTCCGAGAGTTGGGAGGGGGTCGAAGCCCTGCCTCTTTTAGGATGCATTTTGTTGGCCTTGTCACCAGGCCTGCAAAAAAAAACACCACCTGTCATCCACCGCCCTCGCGCGTGCCACTTAAAAGAACATGCAGCCCACGCACCACGAGCAACCCGCTGAAAGAGCACCTCCCGCCCCCCCCCCCTAGACAAACCCTCAGCGGGTGCACCGCACTGACGGTCATGATGAGCTTGTTTTCCGCAACAGCAAGGACAGCCATGAGAGCTGCCATCGGGTTCCACATGCCACGCACGGGAATCGGTTAGCTTCCCCCGTTGAAAGTGATGTCCCGACTGCTTTTAGGATTCGTTGTCTTTGGGTTTACAGTCGAAAGGCTCGCAAGGGCCAAGTGCACTGGCCGATAGGATTTGGTTTGAAACTTGGGCGCCTGCTCGGGCTTGGTCGGCCACGTCGGCACAGGCAAAGAAAAGTCCCAACCAAAAAGCTTTCCCAGCTAATCGCAATGCAGAGCTCCTCGCTGAGGAAGATCGGCACTGTGCGGTTCGTGAGCAAGGTGTAGACCCTCGGATGGGGATGCCGGGCTTGAGGCTTAAGGTACTAAGAACTTACAGATCGGTCGTCTGAAGAGTCGAAGAGGCTTGGCCCTGCCTCTTGCCTTCGATAAGTGAGGCTCCAGGAGTGGTGTTCCTACTGCAGAGGAACCGGACCGCGATTGTGACTGCTTGGGCACAGGGCTTGTAGCATAGCTTCAGGGTAAGTCACCAAATCCAACCTGAACGCCTAGCCGCACAGTTGCTCAGATCAGACCTACTGGGATCTGCCCTATTGTGTCCTTCTACATGTTGCGGTCAAGGCATATGGTCTGTGCTATTCCGCCCACCATCAGCAACATGGCCCGTGCACGTTGCTGACTTAAGTCAACGGAGTCGTTGGAAGCACCGAAACCGCCCAAGCTCTACACTTCACCCCCCGCGCCCTTCAACCCAAAGCTCTAAGTCTAAGTGAAGGCAAAGTCTAAACCTCGCCTCGAGATTCTAGACCCTCGAGGCAACCAGCAGCGCGGTAGCTGGGAAGGGTGCTTGATGAGAAGCGCCACTGCCGCCCCTGGCTGGCTCTCCATCACCGGGTCGAAATCTGCCTGGGTGGCTTTAGGATTCAGGCTTCCAACCAAGTCGCTTTCAATGGCACTCCATTGTAGGGTTACCCCCCACTCCTGTTGAAAACACAAACCCCCAGCAGGTGTTCGGGTTGCCTCTCTCCACTCGTTTCTTGATGCTCCACTGGCCTTTTAGGCTTGAGTGGCCCTCAGACAAACCAACTGACTCAACAAAAACTCAAACAGCAGAATCCCAGGGCCGCTGCACGGGAGATGGGGTAGTTGTGCTTGCGGAAAAACCTCTCAGTGGGAGAGGGGGAGGGAGGGGGTCTCACAGTTCTCTTTTCTTGAGGGCCGGCTTCGAATCGGCACGAAACACAGGAACTCTGCATGATGGGGCTGGAGTGGCGGGCCTCAAGTATTCAGGCTTTTGGGGTTTCAGGGACAGAGCCTGAGCGGTCTGTCACAACAGCCGTTGAGGGTCTGAGCCTTGGAGCCCTGCCTGAAAAGCTGTTCCCAGTTGTCGTTCTTTGTGGCGGCTTTGAGGCCGTTGTCGAAGCTGTGCATCGAAATGTCCTGCTGGGGGCGCATAGGATTTCAGGGTCGAGGTCGCAGTGGGAAGTCGTGCGGGGGAGCAGGCTCTGGGCATCTCATAACCTGCTGTGAAACAGAGATCAAGGGAGGCGCCCTCATTGCGCGAGCAACTTAGGCTCACGCTCACCAAACGCAACTCGAAATCTGAAAGCCCCAACCTCCCAGTCTCACTGTGGGATACACCTTCAATCTTCACATCATGACCTCATCTAGGTTGTAGCCCTGAAGCAACCTGCAAGCTCACTATCTCTCTTCAGCTTCCCCTAGCAGCCCATGAGTCCAAAGCACACACAGAGAACCTTAGCCTGTCAAGAGCTCTGAAACACTTCGGATTCACCGAGATCAAAGACCGCACGAGATTCCTGCTCCCAACTCTTTATCTTGAAGCTTTTGGTTGCAGATCAGGGGTTTATGTAATAGCCAGGTGGACGTAGCGACGCTCTCTTGCCGGAAGCCCCTTTGGCGAAGCATCTGTGCGATGTCTTTGTTTATGAGGCAAATTCATGTTCTTCATGTTCTACCTAAGACTGATGACTTTTCAGCAAGGCGCCCTGAGGTCACAAGTCACCAGATCCGTCTTGGCCTCGTCTGTGTCCGAGGCGCTTGCTTCGTGATTGCAGCTCCGAAACACTTCGCCGTGGATGCACGTCTCAAAATGTCGCACATGCCTGGTGAAGCAGCTGATGCCCGCTGTGATCCCAATGATGACTCCCGTCAAACCCTCATCCACAACGCCGATGACGGTGGCAGCCAGACGACCATGCCAGAAGCGGGGCACGCGGTTGACCAGGCCAACCCCACAGACGCAAGAGATGGTGTAGTAGAAGCCGTGCGCGAATTCCCAGGACTCCAACACAGCGAGGATGGCCCCCAAGAAAGCGCAAATGGCCAGGATGAGCAGGGGGATGATGAGGAGGATCATGGCCGCACCCCAACTGTTGTCCATGAGGACAGGCAGTTCGCTGAGTGTCGCCACGTTTGTGAGCATGGAAACAAGGCCCACAATCACGCACGACAAGACAAAGCCGTACACAGCGTTCACTGCATCAACCATCTTCCCATACGTCGTGGTGGGCGCGTTGCTTACAAAGGGATTCGGTTGGTTCGTGATGCTGCTCAACACATAGAAGAAGCCGTCTTCCTCTCTTTGACGAGATCCCAAGAAAAACCGACAAGGAAAACAGCTTCTTTGAGTCTCTATCCATCAACCACATGTCCCTTCTTAGTGGCCGAGTTTCCAGTGGCCACCCCTCCATGCTTGATAGAATGCCACCCAGCACAGCAGCGGTGGTGATGAGTAAGACCGGGCAGAACACAACGAGAAGCAGGAAGACATCCGCCCACCAGGACAAGCAGCGTGTCATTGCAGCACAAATCTGCCATGGTGAGCCGTTTCTGAGTGACTGAAAGATGGATTCGATAGAACATAAGTGCTTTTTTCACAGACATCGGCTAGGCAGTCTGTCAGGTTGTCGGAGCGAATGTATCTAGGAGCTTTTTCAGGGCTGCGACTCACACCAAGCCAATCATCGTCTTGAGCCCTGAATGCTCTGAGATTTGACTACCATGGATACAAAGTGCATACAAGATGTGCATTTGCACACACTCACCTTGGCATCGACCCGTGCCCGCCTGCGCATGGTACCGAGAGAAGATCTCGGCCACGAGGAAACCGTTTGCGAAGTCGCGCTTCACGTTTCGGACACTGTGGCAGAGGGCTAAGAGAATTCGTGCAAGGAAAGCATCACTAACTTAATCAGAGATTTACGACCCCACGGGGCACTGCGATGTCCCGGCTGTTGGTCTCTGAAGAGTGGAAATACACTAGAATCACTAGAAATATATCAAAGGGCACAGCGGCCTGTACGAAAGGTCCAGACTCTGGATCCACTTCCTGGGCGAAACGGGAATCTCTCGGCTCGTTTCATGCCTACCCCCATGGTCCCATGGCCCCAACCTGCCCTAAGCTGAGTTTTAGGGCTCCAGTACATGCCCGCTTGCTCCACTCCCCCCACCCACTCCGACCGCTCCGACCGCTTCCCATGGCCCTCTGGCCCCAGGCTTCATGGCCCCAGCGCCCCAGGGCCCTATCCCCATGGTCCCATGGCCCCAGCCTTCTACCATAATGTTAGAATCCCATTTTTAATTGGGGTGGTAATACTAAAATTCGCCGGGCCAGAGGGGTCCAGCCGAAGACCACTTTCCATTACGGGAGGTTTTCGGGCCGATGTATGTAAACAAGTCTATTTTGGGGTGTGCGATGATAATAATAAAGGGTGGTAATTATAAAATTCTGCCGGCCTGGAATGGAAAATTTTACTGAGAATCGCTGAAGAGTTCCATTGCAGAGAAGACTTTTCAGCTGAGCTGGCTTGAAAGAGCTCCGAGGCTCAGTCTTTAGAGAAGCAGATCTCGTTTGAGAGTGCTTGTCTTCTGAGATTGCTGCAGCTCCAGAGCTGCGAGAAACTGCTGTTTCAGGGCTGTTTCTTCAGAGACCCCCAGAATTCATTATTGGCACCCCGTCTTTTTTTCCACCCCTCCAAACCCCGGGGACCAAAACAAGATTTGGGGGGGGGGGTTTATTAAAGGGACCCTAACATTAGGCCCTGTTGGAAGGGCTGCAGTGCCCGCTTGCTCCGACCGCTCCCCATGACCCTCTGCCCGATGGCTTCATGGCCCCAGCGCCCCAGGGCCCTACCCGCATGGTCCCATGGCCTAGCCTGCTCAGTGCATGCCCGCCCGCTCCGCCCCCTCCGCTCTTCCCGCCCGCCCACCCCGCCCCGCCCTTTGGCTCCTGCCCATCCCCTGGCCCCATGCCCCCACGGCCCCCATGGATCCATGGCTCCTGGCCCCATGGCCGCATTGCTCTTATGCTCGCCCAGGCCTCCTGACCCCATCCCCTGGCCCCATGCCCCTCGCATCCCCCGAAGCCCCCGAAACCCTTCACCATGCGCTGTACAGGCTGCAGTTGGGGTGGAAGTGACTGCTAGGGGTTAGGAAGTTCCAATCTCCAGGTTCGGAGGGGCAAACACGGGAAGGCTCCTGTGCACTTCTCTTCTACATGTCCTACGACCCCGACGACAAGCTGGTCTGGATGTCAAGCCTCCAAGATGTCACTTTCATTGCGAGTCCGAGTTTCAGCACTTCCCTGGGAAGCGACGTCAGTGACTTGGCCTGCTCGGCCACGCGGGGCAATTGCGCTGGCACGCTGATAGGTGCAAGGGTCCACGTAGCATGCAACTGCATGCGCAACAGTATGGAAAGCACTGTAATGTATGTAAAACAAGTAGGTGAAAAACGGTATGTGCTTAACGGTATGGGCAAGGATGGTTGGGGGCTTCGGCCCCCCCAAAGCCCCTGAGCCTAAGCCCTAACTGACTGCAAAGCTTGGTGAGTTGGCTAAAAGTCCTAGTACCATACCTTCGCCGTCCACGACTTTCAGCACGAAACTGAAGTGACTTTGAAGGGCTATGTCATGACGACGCCCTCACTTGAACCTTCACACTCCCGTTCACTGTCACCTAAGATACGCCCAGTAGAACCGCAGAGCCCCTGGAGCCTTCGATGCAGAATTTCGGAATCCCTTTGTGCAGCTTTCTGGGTGTGTGGCGGGCTCAGCAGGCAGAGTCGCCCCTGCCGCCTGGTCTTGGGTTCGAAGCTTCGGGACTTTAATTTTGTCAGCGTTGGATGCTAGGATTCCGCAAGGTGTAGCAATGTCGGCGCCTATATAGGGTCTTGCGCGTTTCTGAAGGCTCAGAACAAGCGTCCGACATGGAGGATGCCCAAATGGCGTTGCAAACCTACACCGCTTCTAAGCAAGCGGGGCCGGGTGTGTGGTGGTGGGGTTGTGCGAGCGGTGGTGGTGAGGCTTCGCTGGACCCCTTTAAAACGTCTTGAATGAAGGAAGCAGTGAAGGCGGGTGGGCATCAAGCCGCTCAGCGCCGGCGGGGGGGGGGAGAGGGGGGAGGGTGTGCAGAGGGCTGCGCTGCAGGGGTGCAAGCTTTTGTGCTTAAGAAAAGTTACTCCATTTTTGTTGCGGAAAACAAGGAGATCCCGCTTGCATCTCTGTGACAGGTTGATTCAATGGCACGTGAAAAGACTTCAGCAGAACTTCCTTTCTCGCATATTCGCTCGTATTTTGAGCAGGACCCAGTCCGAAAACTCAGTAACCTACTGAAACAGCTCAAGAACATGCGGGAGAATGCAGAGTCGACTTTGCATCCCCGCTAATCTTCGCGACCGACCCGGCAAACATGTGCAAACTACCATTTTCCGACATGTTCTGCTCGGTGGGACTTTCGCACGTCGGCCCTACTTCTCAGACTTCTCAATCATGGAAAAATTGGCGTTTCCGGGGTTTGGAACGGAGGGATTTATTTAGGCAGTTGAGGGGCTTTGGGAGTTTAAAGAGGTCTCAACATGTCACTTCTCTTTAAAGGCTTAGTCAGCGCCACTGAAGCCCAAACCGAGTTTGAGCGTCTGGCCATGCAGCCGGCAGTGGCAGAGCCGAGAGTGGCTTTGCAAACTCTACTCCGACAAGATCCTAAACACTTGGGAGTCTGCGGGTGGCCACCCAGATGGGGTGTGGTAGTTTGGGGGCATTTGGGGGGGCATAAGGGGGTTGGATGCTTCCAGTTCACAGATGTTCCAGGACTGGCATGACGATTGGGGATATGCTTGAAGGCTATTGGGGAATCTGTCAAGGTTGGGCTCCGCACGTCATGACGGTAGCAGCTGGTTCTGAAGCAAAAGCAGGGCGGCGGCACGTAGCAGTTTCAGGGAACCAGGGATGTGACCGACTTGGTCCGCAAGCACGACATGTCAATGCGCTTCCTGAGGATATCAGGCTGCTGACAGGTTGCTGGCTGTTTTCTTGGGGGACCCTCGAAGCCCAAGTTGTGGCCCAAAAGGAGGTCTGCGAAGGTCTGCTGCAAGGAGTTGCAAGAGTGTAAGTCCTGTGGTTCGATAGTTCGATATGTCATTGTCACTCTCAGGAGCAACTCATAAAACCCTGAGCAAGCCAGTTGGGACCCTACAGAGGAAGCTTAAAGTTGTGAACTCCAAGTGATCACCTCGCGATATATTCGTGGTGCTTGGGTTCAGGATGGTTTTGGGAGGGTGCTGGAGTGTTCAGCAAAGCCTCAGAGGTCCCGAGAGTGTGAGCCTTCCGAACCCTCTTGCCTAGAGAGAATGGTAAACACCTCAAAGCGCACCTAGCGATGAGATTCACAGACGAGGTGGTGCCACAACTGAGGATCTCTTCCGAGAATCCTTGTTTCGAAACATGTCGGGCCGTTGTGAATTGACCCAAAAGCCAAAAGACCCTACGCCTCCCCCACTGGCTTCCCGTTAGACGGGGCAAACGCTTTTGCTCTCCTCGCGTCTTCGGCGTACTGTACAGTAGCAGCGCTTCTCCCAAACAAAGCAAGCAGCTTCTCAGACCAACTAACGTCAGCACAGAAACCCCGGAGTGTTGTCGTTCCCAAGAGACCACGAAATCAAACGGCAAGCTCGGAAAGCATCTGGGTTCAGATTGCCCTGGCAGAAGCAGCTTGCGGCTTGGCGAAGGTACTATCGCAGCGCAAGGGCGTGGAATGAAAACTGCCCCCAGAGAGCCGGCCGAAGGCTTGGGGGGCTCACGGGTTAAAGTGGTTCAGGGCTTAAGGGCTCATGGGCCCAGTCGGAGTCGTGGGTGCAGGTGTCTGGGGACTGAGGCTATGTAAGGGCACCGCAAATCCTTGAAAGAGTTCGGCTTGACGACCACACGGCAGAGGGTTCAATAGTTCTAGTACTTGGCCTTAGACCCCCTAATGTGACAGCCATAGCTTGCAAACCTCACAAAACATCTCCCTGCAAAAGCGGAACTACGGGGCCACATCCAAATATCGGCGGGTGGGGGTGGACGTTTCGTTTCAGGCTTCGGGTTCTCCAGGCCGGGCTCAGAATGCCACCTGGCTGGAAGATCCACAGCCAAGCAGTTCCAAAGCGCCCCGCACACCACGAACCTGCTCCTGAACGCAAGGGCTTGGCATTGGACATGTCAGGGTCTAGCTGCTCAGTCAATATTATTTGCACAGGCCCTTATCCTAAGTACCTGTATATACATATGTGTATGAATGACTAAATCAATAAATACATATATAAGTATATATATATATATATGTGTCTGTGCGTGTGGGAGTCTTGATCTCAGCAGCGACATACTATCCTGTCGTCATTGGTTTTGACGTGTAGTATGAGAAGCAGCACAGCGAAGAAGACGGCAACGTTGACGTCAAGAACCTATGTAAACCCCAAGTCCGCAACACCCCAACCATTCTTGTCTGAGATCCTTCCAGGGCAAGTCGTGAACTGCAACCCCCCTTCTTCCAGCCTGGCAGCTCGACTTCAAAACCTGAAGCGTGCAAAGCTGGAAGCCAGCTGGAAACCCCTGATGCCCCGCACGGAATTGCCGAAGCTCTGTGCGGCCCAAAGAATGTCCGCGCCTAAACTGAAGGCTCTTGGTCCATTCAACGCCTCCACCCGACCAAGGCTACCCGAATTGCCTTGGCCAGGACAAGCCTTCACTTTAAGAAGTCCAGGATTTTTTGGGCTGGGGCCCGGCCTTGACACGCTTTGAACCCCAAACCGCTCAATCTTCAAAATCAACCCGAAGCTGCCAGCACTAGACCACAGCTTCAACCCAACAAGTTTCGCAAGAGCACCCAAGCACCTTAGACTTAGTCTACCTTTGTTGGGATTAAAACAAATCGGGTTTGGCCCCAAACTTGCCGTAAACCCTCCCAAACCATACACGCTGAACTCTGAACATCTTTGAAGCATCTCTGCACATTCTTGATTGAAAATCCGGTATGTACTCTCCACCCTTAATTTCGCATGTAAGGGCTGTGGGCCAAAGGCGGTTAATGTGGGCACGTGCCAGGGCCCCCGCGGCTGGTTGCAGAGAGGACAGGTCGTCTTGGAAGAGGACCGAAACCACTGGTAAAGGCACCTGGGCGGCTTGATCGAGGGCCTGAGGAGCTTCCTTTGGGCAACGAGGACGGATCCAGCGGCGCGATCGCGACGCCCGAACGTGTTTGCAAAGATCTGGGGCAAGTCCGATTTACGCCTTCTCGTTTTCCATTCCTGCCGAACTCATGCCGATCGGCAACTGCATGCAGCACCTATCTCGCCTCAGGGTGTTGCTTGGCGTCGCCAGGAGCAAGTTGAAGCTAAAATTCCCTAGCATCAGCAAGCCAATGGAGGCTAAAAATTTCCACAAATGGCCGCCGACGTCTTCATCCGAACTGCCCTGGCAAGGGGGGGGGGGTGGGGCTCTGCACGCCAAAAGCATTTGTCAAACTTCATTTCAAACTACGCTCAAGACAGCCAGAGTCGCGTTCGTGGAGCGAGATACCGCATGATACCGCAGAGGCACGGGAGCAGGAAACCAGGGGCAGAAAAAGCAGAGCAGGAAACAGGGCAGAGACGGGGCGGGAGCCAACCCTGCGAGCAAAGCGGCGAAGAGGCCTTTCGTCTCCGCAACTGTGCGCCCGCTTGAACAAGTCCTCTGTCGCTCGCCAGGAGCTCGAGAATTTCTGCGTTTGCTCGTTTGCTCTGCTTATGGAGCGATGCTGCAGCTCGCTACGATACAAAGCCAAAAACCTCACACCTCCCAACGCACATGTGGGGCGTTGCTGGCAGCAAAAGCTTCCTCGGTGATGTGCGCCTCTGAACCCTAAACCCTATGCCCTAAGCCCTAAGCCCTAGCTGTAAGCCGATAATCAACACAGTTCTCCCGTCTGGGCCATCGGCTCGTTGTGAAACTTGTGCTTGCAGGTTGGGCACGCCTGGAGTGGCTGGGGAGCTTCTTTGCATTGTGTCGGGACTTGATGTCTTCGTGGCCTTAGTCTCCTTTCCCAACATTAAGGGCTCCAGGCTTTGGGGCTACCCAGCATTCCAAAAATCACATCCGCAACTGGCATCAACCTCCGCAGATTCGATTGCGATCTGGTTGTGAGGCTACAGGCTTCTTCCCTGGCTCATTCTCCACGCAGGGTATCAAGGGGGCCTAATTCTCAGACTGGATAGATACGAGTACAAGCGACAAACTCAAGATTTGACGTGATAGACAACATCAAGGCCGCTCGCTGTGGCACCATGGCAGCCCAAAGAAAGGGAGAACATACAACAGACTCGGTCTGTCAGAGTGTACGTGGAGCAAAAGATCTCCCGAAGTTCGAGAACTAATTCTTAAGTGTCACTGGCCAACCATGCAAATCCGGCTGCCCCAACCCCTAAGTTCAATGTCTACGCCGGAATCCCGACGGCAGCCTTTCTGGGGATCGTCTGCGTGGTGAGCTGGATCACATTGTAGCAGATGGGGCAATCCTGCTCTTGCAGACATAAGCTTAGTTAAGCAACTAGCAGAGGCCGTGCAGAAGGGTGGTTTGGAGGGCTGGAGTGAAGCTGGGTCCCCCCATCGAAACGGAAGCACCACACCAATGGCAGAATCAAGGATGAAAGCAGCCCTCCTCCACGCCCTTGAAGAAGAGGGCGAAGCTCTTGGACCACCTTACCGGCATGGATGCCATGCGGGCTTGACGCCTGTTTAGGGTGATGGGTCGAGTGCACTTCCTAGCCGGCATATAGCGCCGACCGCGATTCTGAGCAGACCTGAACAACACCCGAACTTAGGACGTGTTCTATGTAACCTGTGTAGCACACTACACCTAGGACTTGGCATCATCGTATGGGTCCAAGAAGGACTCCTGGACATCGTGTCCGTCATTCGCCTTCATCAAATCATCCAAGCCACATCAGCACTGCTTTGCCGACCGACATCGGCCGCGAGCTGGCCAGCAGCTGCCGTGCCTACACCGATGTTCCCCTCTAATTGCTGTAGCCACTGGCCTCAGAATTAACAAAACCTACATGCAACGCACAGGACTCTTATCCTTGCTACACAGCTAAACCCTAAACTTTAAACCCTGAAAACCCTGACCTCGGGTGCGGCAAAAGGCCTGGAGCATCCAGTTCCGCACGCGAGGCTTCGGAATTCCAGGCCTGAGTGCTGATCCTACACCCTCTTCAGGTTTAGGGTTTAATTAGGGTTTAGGGTTTATGTTTTAGGGTTTAAGGTTTCACCCTGCTCGTTAACATCTCCACATGATCCCGTACTAGTTCCAAACCTCGAACCGAAGCCTGCGTCACGAATGACTCACAGGATCTCACAGGTATGTCCGTATGTCCATACACCCCAGAGCCCCGAACTCTGCATCGCACAGCTCTCAGCGACCGATTTTTCCCTTCATGGGCCCAACAGCTCCGCACGCCGGGATGGATTGGCTGCCTGGGAAATTTCTGGATGCTGGGCGGGCTTGGTTTACATGGGAGGGCCTTAACTTGTACGACGACGACGACGACCACGACGACGACGACGATTATTACGATTGTTGCTAGTACATGCTAGTACTGTTTGGAGGGAGCCACAAACCCTGAGAAAACCAAGTCGCAATGGCTGAGCCGATGCTGGCTCGGCCGCAGCGGCAGGGATAGAGCCGCCTTGGGACTCTCATGGTCAGGGCTGTTGGGGTTTAGAGCTTTCGGGTTTTAGGGTCTAGGCTTTAGGGCCTTGTAGGTGTTAACCAGCGCTTATGGTTTTGAATTCTCCGTGGTCGTTCAAACCAAAATGCAAATCTGCACAGAGGACAGGAATCCATGCTATGCAGCGCCTGCAACCTACCAGGCCAGGTGCTACACATGTGCATTTGTCTTTTCAAAGTCCAAGAAGTGATACCAACATACCCAACATCCCCAACAAATATACCTCAAAACAACCATACCACACAAACCCATACATATTAAATCCCAACAACAGAGAAAACGCTTCACCAAATATACTTTCGCCAAAACCACTATCAATGATTCAAGAAAGATGAAATGAAAATACACCAATTTATTAAGGAACCTTCAACAGAGGTGCGTCGCAATGCCTGCATCGACATTACTTACTACCGAAAAGAACCGTAGTAGTACATGTATGAACAAGAGAAAAATACCAACATCACAGCCTTTTTGCAGAAATATGTGCAGTTTCAAAAGCCTATGCGGCGTTTGAGGGATGCTAAGGCTGACGAATATGAGCCACTTGAGGTGTTTGCTCTAGTGGTCTTAGTACAAAAAAAGCTCCTCACAGGTGTTCAGGACTCCAAGACTCTTGAGAGAACCTGCAGCTGAAACCGCACATGGTAAACCCTGTGCATGCGTCTGGCCTGGTGGGAGCACCTCACCTCTCACCAGCACCTGTCCAAGAATGGTTTCATGCACTTCTAGTTGTTGCGGCCTGATGGTGCAGGGGCGGCAGGGCTTACAGTTGTACAGTTTAGGATCTGGCTGCGAGGTAGGTTGACGCAGGAAAGCACGTCCGCGCCAAGTCTCTTTCACGACCTCGAGCGAGACAAGTGCAAGGGACGATTTGGATGCACGGCATGCGCCCGGGACCTAGCCGCGCTTTGACCCCTGCAACTTCGCAGAAGCCTAGCTTTTGCGATGTCATCGAGCCTGGAATGAATCCCTGGACCAAGCGGCGCCTATATAGGCAAGAGTGCGACTTCGACCCCCAGATACATATCCGTGGGGCATGCAACAGGCGCGGAACCTGGTCATGTGCGGAGCACGGGGTCTCAAAAGACAAGAACCACGTATAGTCATAGCGTGTGCACACGCTGGCGCACACAAAAAAGCATACCAAAACCTTGGACCCCCAAAGCACCGCCCAAATGCTGTGCCTTCGGGACCTCCACCACCGGTGCTGCCAGGTGAGGACAGGCGTGCCTTCGCTTTGAGGCGCTTTGGGGCACTGATGTGGTTTGGATTTTGGATGGGGGGAGATGGAACAACAACAAAAATGCATAAGCACCGCCTTCCTGCGACGCGGAACCCTCGAACCTAGTGAACCCGGCAACCGAGAAGCGACAAACCCTCAACACTTAACCGTTAAGAACCCCCAAAAAAGCCCACTTAGTTGCAAGAAGGGGTACGGCATCAGCAGCAGCCGCCCACGTGCTGGGCTCACGGCAGCAACCTAGAACTGCTCAACAGACTCCTAAAAAAGGTCTTATACAAGCTTATGGGCTCTGGGCGTAAAGAAATTACCGCGGTGAGGATCACGACTTGTGCGGATTTTGGTTGCTTCATGCATAGGGGCCATAGGGGTACTTTCAGGGGAGTCACAAAGGAACCTGGCCACTGAGGGTCCAGGAGCCGTCTAAGAATAACTGGACATGAGCCGATTGCGTGGCCAACATCTGGCCAGCGAAGCTTGCCGTGCCGAAATCCCCGAAGCTTGACCAGTTTCTGAGCACTCTCTCCCTGCCTCCGTCCGCTCTCCTGGGGCCACGCCGCCGCTGGGCGCCAGAATCTCGTCCCCATCCAAGCACTGCAGAAAGGTGGTCTCTCCTCTGCGCTGCTTGCTGAGGCTTCGAGACGTGCGCGAGCCAACTTGAGTTTGGGCTTGCGCTTTGCAAAGTTGGTTGCTTCAAGTTAGACCCATGGTGATACCATGACAGCCCCTTGAAGGAGCATCACCAAGAACAGGAAGCCTCAGAAACAGTGAGTGATGGTGTCCAAGCTGCCACCTGTCAGGCAATCACCTTAGCTGTCACCGGAAGGTTCAGCGGCGAAGGGCCCGCCAACACAATCGGCCCGCATGTTTTGAACTTTGAAGCTAAAGGTGTTTGCATTTTTGTTGTTGATATTGACGCCTTCAATTGTTTGTTCCATGGTGGGTGTGGGCTTTTCCTGGGCACGTGCCTTCAGTAAAGACTCTTTCGATGATCGGCCACATCCATGAACCAAATCCATAATCATTCTAGTCCCATAGTTCCTCCCAGAATCACAAAGCATGGCCAGGGCACTGAGGTAGAGCAGAAAAGTATAGGTGGAGCGGAGGTTCTGCTCCGTACGGGAGAGGTCCACGTGTGCCGGCAGGGAACCTCCTGGAGCTGGCGATTCAGGGCTTTAATGGGCCGACGTCAAGGACACAAACACACCTTGAGACATGACGAGGGCCCTTTCTTTGGTCCGCAGTCCCGCCTACACTTCATTGAGCTTTAAACCCAAAGCTCCCCTCAACCCGAGCCCCAAACCCTTGGCTGCATGGTACCGCTGGCCCCTGACCCTAACCCAGCTCCCCAATTCAGGGGTGTGTGTTTGTGCGCATCATCGGCATGTAGGGGACTTGTGGTGCTGAAGCTGGCCTTAGAACCCCATCACAGCCCGACCTGGCTCGGGGTAGATGAGGAAGCGCATATGGGGCATTGCAGCAGCTGCATCCCCGAGCTGGGCAGCTCGCACCGCTTCGTTCAACGTGCCAGTCAGCCAGCCTTCCACCTTGTCTTCTTTTGAGGTCAGGATTCTAGCAGGATCCAGGATGGATTAGGCTTATTCTCCAAACCGTGTGTCAACACCAAGAGGATTCCAACGAGGGTCTATGCTGGCATGAGGTTTCTCTTTCCAGCACTGACCTCCTCGCAGGTTCTGCGACGGGAAGAATGCAAAAAGAAGAACACGGAGAGGCCCGAGTGGCTTAGTAGCGGCTCCAAAGATGTTCAGCCCAGTTACATCGTGATAGTAGGCCCGATCCGTCGGGGATGCCTTCTGCTTCGGCGCTAAGGGCAGCCGCTTCCAGAGCTCATCGAGCCGCTCCAAGAACGCATCGTCGAAGGCGTGGTCCACCACAGTCGTCCCCGCGCCGGCGTGCTCGACGCCCAGCGGGATCACTCTCGTCACCTTTTGCAGCATGCGCGATTCTTGACGGAATTCTCTTCGTGTGTGCCGGCATATGCCGGAGAAGCCCTCAGGCCCTGGGTCTAGAGAACTTGGCAAGAACGGGCACCCAGACTTCCGAACTTGAAGCTCCAACAGAAAACGCTGTAGTAACTTAGTAGCGCCGGGCAAAAAACAAAAGCCGCCTGGCAACTCGCAAGCCTTCCTGCCCCAAAACGAATCCAACTTCCACGTCCCGCGCCTGCACTTGACACCTGGGAGCTGCGGGCGCTCGGGGAATGGCTCCGTACCCCTGTGCCGGCGTTGCTGGCGTTGCCTCTTGGAGAAGTGGTCCAGATGCAACAGGGAACGTGACCCGACAAAGGGAATGTGCTTCAGCGGCCTGCACTCCAAACCCTCATAGGCCGGCGGGGGGGGGGGCTGCTATTCCTCTTGGTGTGGAAACAGGGGCCGAGAATAGCGGCTCACAAAAGTAAACAACTATCTGTAGACCCCCGAATGCATCCTTAAGTGTCGCGCCTAAGAAAGGTGCAAACCCAGCAAATGCCCTACCCTCTCCGAGGCCTCTGCCCCAGCAGTTGCGAGGGCGGCCATGGTGTCGCGGAATCCGAGCAACTCAGCTGCTCGAAGAGGACCTTCGGTGCTTCGGCCGGGCTTTCTGAAAGAGGAGGGCAAAGAAGCCTTTCTGAAAAAAAACAATTCTTCTTGCATCCAAAGCGCTTAGGCCGGCGTTGTCACGAATGGTGAGGTCTGCCCTCCGAGAAGCGAGCACCTGGACGACCTCGCACATGAGAAAGCGACTGAAGCTCTACTTTGGCCCCAGAGTTTGCATAAAGTTGTCAACGCGTGAGATCCTGCTGTTTTAGCTCATGTCCCTGCTGTGCTTAATGCAAATGCGTGAGGTTTGGGCTGGCACCTCGGTGGCACCAGCCAGTGCGGCCAGAAAGGTGGCAGTCTCACCATACCTCGTCAATAGCTGGGGGTTTGATAGGGTCTAGGCTGCCCTGCTGTGGACTCTAAAGCCCAAGCAGAACTCGCCCTAAAGCCATGCACTTCAGCCCAAAAAAAACCCCAAGCCCCCAAACTTCTGTTCAATAAAGTTCCGCAACAAGCAAAACCAAAACCTTGAGACTATCGGTCTGCCAGGGACTCGTTGGGGACATCGGGCAGAGCACCCCTGTCCAGGGCCTGGGGAGCTGCGCGGGCTATGCGAGCCATTGGAGCGAAGTTTCGGGTGTCGCATCTCTGCAGTGTGCTTGTTTGGTGTCAACCCCTCTCCCACTCCATCTGCAACTGGTTGATCTTGCCTTCTTTTCCCCTGTGACTGCATCTGTTTGAATTAGATATTCGATGGCTGCACAAATGCTGGTTCTTGGGAAGGGTACAAGCTGCTGTTACATGTTACATGGTCCATAGAGAGAGAGAGAGAGAGAGAGAGAGAGAGAGAGAGAGAGAGAGAGAGAGAGAGAGAGAGAGAGAGAGAGAGAGAGAGAGAGAGAGAGGGGGGAGAGAGAGAGAGAGAGAGAGAGAGAGAGAGAGAGAGAGAGAGAGAGAGAGAGAGAGAGGAGAGGAGAGGGAGAGAGAGGAGGAGAGAGGGAGAGCGAGAAGAGAGAGGGAGGGAGAACGAGAGAGGGGGAGAGAGGCAGGGAGGGAGAGGAGAGGGAGGACGGGAGAGAGAGGGAGAGAGAGGGAGAGAGAGGGAGAGAGAGGGAGAGAGAGGGGGAGAGAGAGGGAGAGAGAGGGAGAGGAGAGGGGAGAGAGAGAGGAGGGGAGGAGAGAGAGGGAGAGAGAGGGAGAGAGAGGGAGAGAGAGGGAGAGAGAGGGAGAGAGAGGGAGAGAGAGGGAGAGGGAGGGAGAGGGAGGGACAGAGAGAGGGAGACAATCCAGTTGTTGTTTACATGTGTGTCATGAGTCGTGACGTTCAATGTTCACGGGATGTCCCGGACTGTGTTTTTTTGGTTCTGCTCTCCACCTGTATTCTGAAAGCATCAGAATTCAACTGCGCCCTTTCTGAGCCTCCTAAAGTGCCCTGAACTCAAACCCCAGCGCCTGGAGGACGCCCGACACTTCGCCGGACCGTGCCGCCTCCGCCAACTCAGCCGTGAGCGCCGACCGCGTGGCGCCGCGCGCAAGGCCGGCCAGGAAGTCCTTCTGAGACTCGTGTTTCTGTATGCTTTTTTGTGACATCACAAGGTGCGCTCGACTTCCTATGTCTTTTCCTTTGTTTCGGGCCAGGGGCTCAGGGATCTCAATGTGAGCCGCTCCTATCGGGACTTTGTGCTTCTAGTGAGTCTTGAGCTAAGCCGCAGCTGAACGCTTAGCATGCCACGACACTGGATCCTGACTTTGCCTAAACCCTAAACCCTAAACCCTATAAACCCTAAACCCATGGTCCTTCCACGGCTGGAAGGCTTCCGCGCGCACCCGCCGTTCAATCTCTGCGCGCATCTGCGCGGCCTGTGCTCTTCTCCTAAAATATCTTATGTTAGAGTAGACATGTATATATAAGATGTTGTACATATTATGGTGTACTGTATATATTTATATCATATAATATACTCTACTACATATATATATATGTGTATATATAAGTTGATGTTTTAACGAGCCGCAGGATCATGAAACTTTGAGAACGAGCGGAGGAGACAGAACAAGGAAATCAATAACACAAATGAAGCTTCGGTTCACCAATTCTGGTTCCACGTCTATGTCGGGGCACATGAGACCGTTTGGGTGAAGCAGGATGACGACCGCAACACACCCGATTGGTACTGTTGCCCTAAACCCTTGAGGTTTCGTGAGGAAAGCTTGAAAGCTGTTGTGCGGGTTTAGGGTTTAGGGTTTAGGGCTTAGGGCTGTGCATCCGCTGCTCTGCCTGGCCCTCGTCGACACGCGCAGGCCCACGCCAGGCAGCATTGGGTGGCCCGAGCTCCACGGCCTCTAAGGCCACGGCCTGGAAGCCCAAGGAAAAGGAGAGGGGCATTTAGAGCCTTAGGGAAGGTTTAGGGCTCAGGGTACAAGGGGCTTTCAGGGCCCGGGGCTTTGAGGCTCAGGGTTAAGGGTTTGACTTGAGGTTTGCAGATGCAAGCAGATGTTTCCGCTTTGCCTCTGCAGGCACCGGTGGCACGTGCACGGGCTCATCTTCGAAGCAGCGCGCAATGTAGGCCAACTCCTGGGACGAGGCTTCTGAAGTATGCCAGGGCCTCTGCTGCTTGATTTCCGGTCTCGAAGCAAGCGTGCGTTCAAACCTGCAGGCTCGCAAAATCTCTGGAGAGGTGACATCCTACACCCGATCTATCCTAAGCATTGCCGAACTGCGTGCCCCTAAACGCCCTAGTGATCCCTCGTGGCAGTTCCAGGGGGTCGCCCAGTCCTCCGAGCCCCGAGCCACGGCCACCAAAGCCCCAGCCATCCGTCGGACCTCGCAAAAGTACCAAAAGCTTCATGCGAAGAAAAGCCAAGAAAGGGGAGTTCGAGTTCAACCAACGGTTCAACTGCGGCCGAAGAAGCCCCCAGATCGATGGGGGGCCTCTTTAACCGACAGGTTTCCGATTCTTCTTTCCGTGTAGTTTTTCGACTTAGAAAAATGCACAGATGCTGGACCCTAAGTCAAAGAGAGTCTGGCATGGTGTGGGGTTCCCCCCCCCCCACCGCCCCCCACGTTTCCTGTGATGGGTTTGGGGTCTTGCCCGAGACCACGCCACTTTGTTCTCTGGGGTGGGGAGGGAACACCAGAGTAAGGGAGGCAATTGCGCAAAGAATCGGAACCCGTCCTGTTGGGGGCCGAAGTCTGCAGCCGCAAAGGTCACGGCCGTCCAGTCTGCATCGGACCAATGCGCACCTGCACAGCGCAGGGGGAATCTTGCTCAAAAGTTTCTATGCTTTTTGGAGGCGTGGAGTTCAGGCCCCAGAGAGCTTAGGGGAGATGCGGGGTCTTTTGGTGACGGTGGGGCCTCTTTGTGGCTAATCGGTAAGTGCCAAGCTGAAGGTCGTTGGTATCATGTGCTCCGTGGTTTCAAGACATGCGACACGCGATATGGCGACAGGCTGGGTCCATCGCTGACTCAAACAATAATGTCCTGGAGCGCGCTAGAAACATAAACACATCCCCGCGTTTGAGCCATTCGTTTTGAGCCCTGCCTTCACCACGCCGTTGGGCTTCAAGGCCCTGAGCGGAACAGTGGAAGAGCTGCCTCGCCAGGGTGTGCGTCTTACAGGTTCTCTGGGGGCGGCCCTGCGGCTAGCAGAAAGGGACGACTGGAAGCCTCATGGCGGACGGCTCGCGTGGAGCCGGCGAGGGCCAGAGGAAGTTGTGGTAGGACCGGAGGCCCTTGCCTCTGGCTTTAGGTTTGGGGCTTTTGAGGCTTCGGGTTGTTCCCTTAAACCCTAAACCCTCAACCCTAAACCCCAAACCCTAAACCCTATAAACCCTAAACCCTAAACCTGAGGGTGATTGGGGGCCGGTTGGGGGCGAAGTGCTTGGGGGAGTGCAGATTTGCAGTTCAGGGATGGGCTGACAACCGAAGCCCCTGAGCCGAGGGAACCAACTGCTGCCTCGCGGCGGGCTGCGGGGCCGCCTGCAGGGGAGACGCGATGGGGTCAATGGGGTTTAGGGTTTACAGGGTTTATAGGGTTTAAGGGTTTATAGGGTTTTAGGGTTTTAGGGTTTTAGGGTTTTAGGGTTTTAGGGTTTTACGGTTTAGGGTTTAGAGTTTAGGGTTTAGGGATTACGGTTTAGCTTAGGGTTTAGAATTCAGGGTTTAGGGTTTAGGGTTTGGAATTCAGGGTTTAGGGCTTGGCCCTTAGCCCTTTAAAAGCCTTTGGGGTTTAGGGTTTATCGTGTTCTTGGCTTTTGCTGAGGCTTTGGGGGAGTCTCGGAGTTGCCGCTTCCAGAACTTTCGGGTCTTACATCATAATATGCCTGGGACCCTCAACATCTCTTCAACCCGCAACTGCTGATTTTTGAGGGCTTTTGGAAACTTTGGAGCCCTTCCTAAGGCTTGCAGGGCCCCTGCCTTTCAGCTCCTTCAGGGCTTTCCGCACTCTTCCTTAGGCACACGGGCCAGTCGGTCACTCTTCACAAAGGGCTCAGAAAGCCTCAACACCTGAGCTCGAAGAGTCTAATCCGAGTTCTTGATCTGCCGGGAACTCTTTCGTTGCTTGTCGTTGCACGCAGCACTGGTCGTTCCAGGGTTTCTTTCAGGCCCACGGCATCTATGTTTCTTCTCTTTCGGGAGCCGGCAGCTTACGGAGCGTGCTCTGTTCTTCCCTAAACTGCTGGCGACAAACTTACTCCTACTGCCCAAGAGGCGGTGGACTGTGAACTTGCCCAAGGCCTCGGATAATGGCAGCGCGACCAGGACGCCTCCGAGTCGGGATTCGCTCTTGACGGGGGATGGCTCGGGGAAGGATGGGAGGGGGGGGCTTGGGGCCTGCGTTTTGAAGCAGTCTGTACGACCTCAAAACGATCGCATGTTGACTGGTTTCGGCTTCAGAGCGTTCCTGCTGGGGGGGGGGGGGGTGTTTCAGGGCGGGGGTGCTTCAGGGCCCCTCACTTCCAAGCACTACAACACCCAGTCCAACAGATGCGGAACCGCACCCCCTGAGCCTTCCACCCCCCAACTGGGCCCCCAGCCCCAAATCGGCCCATAAATCGACCCCCAATCTCCCCAGCAACTCACTCTGAATTTGGCCGAAGATGCTTTCGTGCCACTGCCGGCCATTGAGTTGGCATAGAGCCGCTCGGGCCGCTTCCTCACCAAGGCGCACCTGGACCTGACTCAACGAAAACCCTCGGGCCCTCGGAGAACCTCCTGAGAGCCTCCACCTAAACTTCGTAGAGGGAGCACGGATCTTCGCAGGATGCATAAGTAATCAGGGTTCATGCAGTCGGTGACGCAGCAGGCAGTGATCTTCGAACTTGGCTCAGCCCTCCGGCTCGTAAGACTTGCGTGTTGGCGACAGGGTTTGTGGGTCGGAGTCTGGACTTCTTCTGGTCCGTGATTCTAATTGTGCCAAGGCTCATGGCCCTTGCCTGTCTCGAACTCGATGTCCTGCACTGCGCACACCCCGTTGCACGATGGGATGGTTGCCGATAAGCGAAACATTAAACACCCAGCATCTGCTCCAATGCGAAAACGAGCCCATATTTGATATGTATCTCTAGAGGCAAAAGCCTTAGTTTTCCAAACACAGATCAAAGACTACTGAGCACTACATAGAGGAGCTTGGCCGACTGTGGGCTGAGGACAGAACATCACTGAATTCATGGGTATCCAAGAACTGGCTCAATTCGAGAGCCTGGTTCATGACCAGCTGCATGTCTGACTTTCGTTCAATTGGCATGTGCCTGCAAAGGCCTGTGCAATCGTGGCTCCATGTGCTACTGAGAACACATGCTGACGGCACATGCGACGCTGACGGCCCACATTCCTCCATTCCGCACCTCAATTCCCAAAGCCAAATAAGGCCATTGCTCAGACCATGCAAGAGCAAGCCACAACCCTTTAAACATCCAAAAAAATTCCTGGAACACTAATAGGCATCCTGACGCCAAGGATCCGGCCTCCAGGGTGACGGGGATGCCAAGCTCGGCCAGCAGTTCGCGCACCTGCGGTTTGGGATTAGAGGGTTCACTTTCAGAGGCCCATTCTTTCTCCGGGCAGTCGGCTTGGATGGCCAAGGCACGTCTTCCGGAACGCAGCTGTCGTGCAGTGGTCCGAACCACACCTTCGGCTTCAGGAGCTTGCAGATGCTCCGTGGGTCTGTGGGGACATGTTACTTAGGGCATCGGATCACAGGCGAAGTAGGCAGGTACAGGACACAGGGACTTTCAAACGGTGGCACAGTGGCTGAATGCCCTTCCTTCATGTTGACGATACCAGCTGCGAAATTGTCTGGATGGAGGTTTTTGTGCAGCAAGTGCACCCCCACAGACGAGCTTTCTAAGTCTCCAAGGCAATTTTTCGGGATTCCCATGACGTCGTAGGCAGGACGTGCAGTGACACCTGCATCATACCTGAACCCCGAAGCTGAGTCTAACAGTCTACATCCAAGGCTCGCCACCGAGACGCTCACTCTGGGCGAAGGCGGCCTTCTCTTCCTCAGACTTCTGGGAACCCGAGCTGCCTTAAGGGTGCTCCGGATTGCTATAGAACCCCCCAAGGTCAAATTCTGAGCCCGGGCCCTAAACTGCCCCTGCCTTCAAGCCACAACACCTCTCTGAACCTCAGTTGGGTCCCTGGAAGGCCTCGGTCACGAGGGCCCAGTACGGGATGTAGACATTGAAGGACCGGCGCCGTGGGCAGTACACCTGGGCTTGGGGTGGGGCTCGTGGAGGACGCTCATCATTTTTCGGCTCGAACTCGCGATGGGCCTACGTTCCTGGCACAGCGAGCGCCCGAAGCGGCACCCCATCAACCTCATCTTCAAGGCTGTAAAGTACCAAGACTTGTGCTCAGCACCAAACCAGCCCAGGGAAAAACCACGTGTGGGAGAAAAACCCTGGGCCTCAAGAACGCCAGCCGGCTGCCTTAAAATTGAGACAACCCAACCCAACCCCCAAACCCACACCAACCCCGAACAGAAGCCCGACAAGCAACACCGAAACCACAACCACACCCCCCGAACAAACCGAAAAAGACCGCCGAACACCCCAACCCCCCCCCAACACCAACCCCAAACAGGCCAACTCAACCTCATCAACCCTAACACCACGAAGCCACAAAGAGCCCTTTTTCGGGGGAAAAAAAAAAAAAAAACGAGGCTGCCCGGGAGCCTTGTCAAAGATCGTCGCATTGGGGCCCAGGGATGCTACCGGCAGCACCGGTGACAGCAGCCGGATGTCCGAGTCTCGCAGCTCCCGCAGCAGGGCGGCGTCGTCACGCAGGCAGGGCCTTGGAAGACAATTGAAGCTGGTTTCGGGTTTCGGGTCTAGGGTTTAGGGTTTAGGGGTTAGGGTTTAGGGTTTTAGGGTTTTAGGGTTTTGGGGTTTTAGGGTTTTAGGGTTTAGGGTTTTGATTTAGGGTTTAGGGCTTAAAGGGTTTAGGGTTTAGGAACTTTTTCATCCTTTCATCCACAGCTCTGCGTGCCTTCGTGCCTCCGTGCCTTGAAATCGCCGCAAACTTTCAGAGCGAAGGCACCATCTCCCGTACCGTCCCCCCGCACCCCCGTCAAACCCCCAAACCCCGAATCCCGGTACATCCTCCATTGGTTCGTCTCACCATTCGGCTACTCTTGTTGAACTCTGTCTTTGGGCATGTTAATACTGATTTACGGGCACTATCTACCCTGCGTCTCTGCTCTGAGCCCACGCCTCAAGGTGAGGATGATGACGTTCTCGGCCGCGTGGAAGCCGCGGTCTGTCCGCGCGCTGCGCACAGCGGACAGGAAGACGTCCTTCAAGACGCCGCCGGTGCTTGCAAGGGGCGTTTTTAGGGTTGAGTGTAGCCGGGGTTTAGGCGCGCATGTCATGGGTTCAAAGGCTGCCATTCAAAGCTGTTAGGGTTGTTAGGCTGCTGGGTGATCTTTAGTTCGTGGATGTTCGTGGGTTGTTCTTTCTCCGCAGTTTCACGGGTTGGGCACTGTTTTGGGGCTTCGCCTTGATCTCTTCTGAACGGTTTCCACAAAGAACCTTCAATGAACTCCGAAGGCTAAAGCCCACAGGCCAGTGAGCCGAGCGGCCCCCCAGGCACGCCGCACTGCGGAAATCAGGGCTCCTTCAACCTGGAAGCTATTGGGTGCGCCATCGAGAACACCGCGAAAATTCCAAAACCCCTCGCGGCCCTCGCGCATGCACTTCCCCACCGACGCTTCGTGGCAACAGGCCGTTCAAGCCAAAAGTGTACGCTGCCAAGCTCAGCTCAAACTCCACCATGCTCCCCAGGAAATGGAAGCGAGTGAAACCAAATGACACCGAGCCACGGACGGCAGACTCGCTTCCTCCCGTTCGTTCTGGTAGGCACTGCAGCGGTAGCGCGACCCCAGGTAGCCAACGACCAGAAGGAGCCGCTCCTGCATCTGGGATTTTGGGGGGGGGACTCCGAGTTTGGGTCGGCGTTGCGGCTTTCGGCAGCCGGGCCTTCAGCATTCAGGGTGGTGTTTGCCAAAGCCAAGCCGAACCACCCCCCCCAAAAGGCCTCCCCAAACCTTGAGCCCCCTATCGGCTCCTTGCCCTCCTTGGCCTTGGCTGCAAGGGGGTCGCACTTCTCCGCCAGGTGCTTGAAGAGTGCATTGCCTGGGGAGGGCTACTCGGACCAAGAAGAGGACTCAATGACTCGGGGAGAAGAAATAGGGTGACGGCCTGAGATGGCAATCGAGGCCTTGTGGTTCGGGACTTGGAGGTTGCCACAAGATCGGGGTATAGAGGGCCCCCCAAAACTTTCGCCGAGACTTGAGGGGGCTCTCTTTGATGCCATTGCCAAGCTGCGCGACTCGAAAGCGGCTCCACAGTGGCCGCAGCTTGCCTGCGGCCACTGTCCCAAAAACTCATGAACCCCGGATTCCCAAGCCCAAACAAAACACTCTTTCCCTAAACGGCCAAAGCTTCAGCCTTTCGTTCCCGCAGACCCCCCCCCCTACTGCCCACCGGATCTGAAGCATCCTTCATCTTTGTTTGCCAATAGACGTCCACTGCAGTAGGTACCAGAAACATAAACGATAGCCCGCAGCGTGAACTTTCTGAACCACCAAATAGACTGAAGTAAAGCGTCCCGAGCCCTTCAAGGCCTCTTTGCTCGGAGTAGGCCCCGGCCCGACCGTCATGGCAGCCAGAGGCTTACAAGGTTCATTTTCGCTACGTCAACAAGAATCTACAGCTGGTAAGCCTCGCTTGGGATTTGGGAGTCTACGACCTTGGAGTTTGACAGTGTTGCTTTGGAGTCTTTCTGTTGAGTGCAGCCCATGGCTCCATCGGATGCATCTCGGTAGCGGCCTTTGTGCCACCAAGAAACCCCCCCTGCCTGGCTACATCGTAAAGACTGTGGCATCAGGGTTTAGGGTCTAGTAGGTTTAGTAGTAGTTCCTGAACAACTCGGGCCCATTAAAGTCCAGAGCACGACCGCCCCACTCCGAGGCCGGGACATCTTCTCGGGGAACTCGGCCTGCGCTGGCCTTCAATAGCTGATGGGCTTCTGGGCTCGAGTACAGGGTTGAGGCATGTGGGTTTGGAGGTAGTTCCCAGGTGGCTCAGGAACAATGAATCAGCCAAGAGTCTGTTAGTAGTAGAATTGGGGCAGGCTTTAACCACAAACCCGCGCATCAACAACTAAACCCTGAAGCCTCCAAGGCACTCCACACCTCCAAAAAGACCCTAGCCTGGCAAAGCCGCCCTGGCGGTTGAGTCCCAACACCCTACACCCCTAATTAAACCCTAAACCCTAAACCCTAAACCCTAAACCCTAAACCCTAAACCCCTAAACCCCTAAACCCCTAAACCCTAAACAAACAAAACCACCCCAAGGATCCATTAAAAAAGACACCCGTCAGTCTTTGCGGCCTGAGTGGAAAGGACGGCGGCAAGTTGACCGACCTTGGGGGACGAGGGTTCAAGAGGCATAGTGTCCCGAGGGCTCTTAGCTTCAGACCCTTCGCATCTGGTGAGGGTGAGACTTAGCTTCTCCTGTGCTCTTATGGATTGCACAAGAGCTGCAGAGCCCTCTGGGGAACCCACAGCTCTGTCCGAAGCTCCTGCGGCTCGGAGGCTCTGAGATATAGTGGCGGTGGAACGGTGGAACGGTAAAAACTGCAAGGAGCTTGAAACAGGTGTCAGTCGAGGGCAGACGTGGGGGACACCGACTCCACAACTCAGGGCCTGAGCCTGATGTTCCTCAGCAATGTCTCAAGCAATACCTCAGGCCTCCACCCTTCCTAAACTTTAGCTGCAACGGCTTCAGCGTGCCGTGCTGCCTCCCGCTGAAGCAAGAGGAGCAGCTGTCGCTGTCGCCTGACGACCTGGGCCCACAAAAGTTCGGCTTGAAGCCTCGGAAGCCTAGGATTCAGAGTTTGAGGGGCTGGGGGGGGTTGAGGGCTCACTAGACAGAGTTCTTGCACCTTGGGGTCTCGTAGCTTTGGAGCTTTCAGAGTCAAGGTGGGCAGGGCTCTGCAGAACATGTCTTCCAAAAAGGCAGTTTCTGGAACCCCTGGAAGTAGCTTGAAACTGGAGTTTTGGACCCAAAACATAAACACAACGTGCAGCCAGACGCCGCATACCAAGTCGTAGACTCACAAAACAGTTGCACCACCTCTCCACTCTCAAGCCCGTTTGAGTTGTTGCAAATGAGGCCATGGTGCTTGCTCGGATTCGGGAACCATACTTGCTCTCTCGAAAAGTCGGGGTACTTATCGGTTGCTCAGCCACTTTAGCCCTCAATGGGCCCACAAGACTCTTCCCCCCAAGGCCACAAGTCCACCAAAGCCCCGTTCTCCAGTTCATCAGGCTGCTCAACATTATCCTCAACAAGTCCACCGTCACCAGCGCACGTTATAAGGACCGCTGAGCTTCTCAAATCACCAGGGCTCCACACCGAGGCCTCAATGTCCTCAAGGCGGTCCCGGTCGGCCTGGCGCCAGGCTTTGCGCCGCACGCGCGCGGTCTCGTTGGCGAGTTCCCCCTGAAGACTCCCGGGGGCCTCATTCAAACGGTACCCCCAAGACTCCAAGCAGGGTTCGCCTCGATTTGGGCGTTGGCAGCTGCAGCTTCGGCCTTCCGGACGCGAGAAAAAGATTGGCAATGAAACCTTATGGGCTCTCCTCTTGTTCGATGTACGCTAAGTTGGAGGGTAGCGGTGAAGTCAATTTTCAGGTGAGTAGAAGCTGGAAGCGTCTGGTGCGTCGTTCCACCAATAGCTGTTGAGCACCTGGACTGTGGTGCCGTCAACCCTTCTGCCACCAGAGTCGCCGCTATTCTGCAGCCCTTTTTGCGAATCACTGGCCTAGTGATCACCGCCAAATCAAAAGCCCAAAGGACGCGCCATCCTTTTCGCCAAGCTACCGAGAGCCGCAAAGCTTCGGTGAACGGGCTGAACGTTCACATGACAAATCGGCCCATCAACAATCGAGACACGACAGGTCAGGCATGCCCTTACTGCACTTTCACACTGGTAATACTCTCTTTCTGACCTGTCGGCTGTACATGGAGTTTACTCCGTCTCTTGATGGCCTTCTCTTGAAAAAGCAATCCCAAGCTCAATTGTTCCCTAAGATCAGCGCCTCGATTAGCCTTCGTAAGACCGTCAGCCAGCTGACACCTGGTAGGAACCCACTTCAATCGAGCTTTCCCGGATGCCTCTTGCCCCTCACGTGTTGTAAGGAGCTGTCTCAGCAACACCGCATGCACGATGCTACCTTTCTCCCCTACGTGTTGGCCGTCTTTATGAACAGTATCATATATGCTTCTACAATCCGTAACCAAGGTGACAGGGCACAGCTGCTGCCAACCATCATCTTCAACCGCCGAAATGATCTCCGATCCGTACCTAATCTCCCCTAAGAGGACTTGGGCAAATCGGGACATGTTCTGGGCCATCAACGCTCCATGTGTCTCGGCGGCAAAGGATGATTCCACCACCCGACGGTTTGTTGCACTTTTCCAGTCTATCAGGTTAAAGTGAGCTCTACCTTCCTGACTGGTACTGCCTCGTTTCACGAAACCAACACATGCGCCTTTTTGAGAGTAAACGAGCTTCTTCTCATGGCCTTGTTGCAACAAATCCTCGCACTCTCTCTCATCCAACTCCACGCCAACACTGCTGTACAATCCGGCATCATGAAAGGTGACTAATTCCGCATCATGTCCGAGTGACTTAAACACGATCTCAAACCGATTACGGATCACTTCTTTCACAGCCTTGTTGGCCCTAAGGAGATCTCTCACTCTCAGGTCTGACACTCGCTTCTGCAACTGATTGCACTCAAACGCAACATCAGGTCGGCTCTGGACTGTCAACCACTGCAGACTACCTACCACAGACCTAAAGTCGGTTTTCTCGGTATCCGTAGCCGGACAGTCCAGCTCTTTTGCACGAGCCCCACTGATTTGCATAGGCTGCAGTCTCCCGTCGATGAAAGCGTTCTGAGTCAAGATGATACACTGTTCACCGTCTCGAGAATCGAGCTTGATTTCTTTTCCGCAGTAGCTCACACCACATGGTTGCTCAGACACCTTCATCCAAGTTCCGAATGGGAAACGTGCACACAAAGCCTCTACCATATTCGCGCCTTGGGTACTTCCGTCGTGGGCAATCATCACGTCATCTACGTGTACTATCATGAGCCCTCTCAAGGCTCCGGCACCGTCCCTCAGGGCAAACATGGCAGGATCCGCTTGGCATTTGCTGAATCCAAGTTCTGTTTCCAAGATACGTGATAGCTCATCATACCAAGCACGGGGCGCATCTGGTCGTCCGTACACTGGTTTCAAAAGCTTTAGGAGTTGACCTGGCTTCAACCCTGGCAACCCTTGTTTGGGCTGCCTCATGAACATGTCGGGCTTGTCTTTCAAAGGAGCCCCTTGGAGAAAGGCGTTCGAGATGTCTCCAATGTACCAGTTTCCCACCCATCCTAAACTGATGACTTGATGAAGGAACACCATAGTGGAGACACGTTCGATAGTAGGCGAGTCGACCTGCACCTGGCCTGATCTGCTGTCAGGACACAAGTGTCCTTGAATGCACAATCTAGCTTTAGCCTTTACCGGAAGTTCGTTTCCATTAGCATCCCTCAACCCAGCATTCTTGTTTCGAAAGACATACCTACTTGGCAAGATCCGTTCCGGCCGTTCTTGCTCGACAGCTTCACTGGCTTCGGGGCTTAAGATCTCGCAGCTGTCATACTCAAGCCATGAGTTCCATTCTTTCTCCTCCGCCGCCTTATACAGGCTTCTCTGCTCTTGGGGAATTTTATCGAAAGGGATTTCCTTTTCCATCATTTTCTTCAGTTTGTTCTTGCTCTGGGTGGCCTTTTGGTAGACAGCATGCACATGAGCATCAGAACTGGTGGCCTTCCGTCTTTTCACCCCCATAGGGACATCATCCAAACAAGCCTCTTTTCGATTCCGATTTTCGAAAATCGTGATCAGGCCGGCGGCTGGTCCGTTCGGAATAAACTGATGCTGTTGCTCAAGTTCTAACCACTTCACTTGTCTTTCCAAACATTCCCATTTGCCTTCCCTATAAACCCAGGACGTCCGGAACGGAAACTTGTGGCTTTCGTACTCTGGCTCAGGACTCCGAAAAGACCACACCTTGTGAGAAACAAGCACAGGATTTCCAACTCGGTCAACATGCCACCCTCTCCTTCGGCTCATTCTAGCATGTTCAAGACTCAAGCCCGCTACGGTCTCAACATCAACATCAACATCCTGCGCAAGTTCACGTGCAAACTCTTCCTGTTCCAAGGCCTCAGGCTCATTGGCTGGGCCCGTCTGTCCCAGGAGATTCTCATAGGGCGCTTCTTTAGGGATCTTTCGGAATAATGAAATGGCTTGTTGAAGAACTGGTTCCCCAAAATGCTTCTCATCACCAACTGCTTCCCTAAGGTGCTCCCCCGCCACTAAGAAGCACCTTCCACCTGCAGCAACCCACGCGTTACCTCCCTGGAGCCCCACAACATATCCCGGACCTATCCAGCGGCTTTGGCTATCCCTCTTCTTACTGTTTTCGGCACGCCAGAAAAACACTAATTGTCCTATTTTGGGAATGGGCAGTCTTCGGGTCCGGTTGTGGGCGGTCCGGAGCAACATTTGCCGAGCCTGACTCTTAATGAACTCCATCTTCGCGTGATACCTGTACCGCATTCGATGAGCGAGTTCACTTCCCTGGTCTCCTACCGCAGGATGATACGCCGTAGCATTTCCTCCTTGATGGAGCTCACCGTAGATCCGAGGCTCTTTCCCGAAAACGAGAGACACCGGTGCCCATCCATGTTCACGGACAAGAGAGTTCTTCGCCCAACACACTTCTCTAGCAAGCTTCCGCATCTGTTCCCTACCTTTAGGCTGAGTGTGTCTTATGCTACCCATCAGCATGTCCTTCACGGTTTGGTTGTGTCTCTCTACTTTGCCCGCCTGCCAATGAGCAGTTCCTGCCACCGCTGAGATACTCGTTCCGGCTTGAGTGACCTCTTCCCAAAACTGACGACCTTGAAAACCTCCCTCCAGGTCCACGGTGACTTTTAAAGGAGGTCCCGCCCATTTCATCCAGGCACGATCAAAAGCTCTATGAAGTTCAAGAGGGGTGTGATCTCGAAGCAACTCCAGGATGTGATACGACGTAGCCCGATCGAGAATCGAGAGATACCAAAACGACTCTTTGTTACTGTCATGAATACAGATGCAATCCAACTGAACTTCATCGCCGAAAGTGACTTGGCACGGAGGGATACTTGAGACCCGATGGGTACTAGGTCGTCTGCTATGAGCGCAAGTCAAACACTTCATCCATCGAACAGCCTCAACCACATCTTGCCGTGCCCCTCCTAATTTCAGGAACCGTTCCAAGTCACTGGGACTGGGATGTCCCAAGTTGCAATGGGCTTTAATCAGCCCCTCACGGACGCCTTCACTCAGGTGTTTTCCCGACGGAACCTCAAACGCAATTCCCTCTGTGGACAAACGTGACTTCACCTGTTCAGTCGGAGGCACAGAACGCTCCACATTCTCATCGCCAGGATTCCCCATATCTGTATCTCGTGGCTCCTCCGAGTGGGGTATCATCTCTTCATCTGATTGACCATCGTCTTCGATCTCTCCCTCTTGTGCAAACACAGCATGCCAACGTTTCAATGCCTTCGCAACATTTTTCTCATTCCAGCGAAGGTCGTGGATGTCTCGATCATCAGTTCTGACTTTGTTCCGGATACGAACTGACAGACTGCGAAGAAGCTTCCGCACACGTCCTGGGTCACACTCTTTCAAGTTGTTAACGTATCCAACACAGATGGCCTGAGCAATACATGACCTCTCATGGTTTCTAGATGCATTCCCTCGAGCGGTCGCCAGCCTGTCGATCTTCTCAAGTTCATTTGCAATGTGTTCGCAATTCGTGACCCATGCATCATTGTCGTTTCTGACCCCATCAACATCACGCTTGACATGCACACACTTCACATTTGGATGGTTCAGCATGGTCCCTGCCAGGCCACGAACACCCCACGTGCTGTTCAAGGGAAGCTCTGCAAGCGCATGATCACCTCTGTCTATCTGACTCTTGAACACCCTCTCAACCAGCTCAACTCCGGCCTTCTGTCTCTCTCTCCACTTCTTGGCCCTTCTTTCTTCTTGACTTCGGTTTCTAGTTCCCCCATACACAGGAGGATTGCGAGGGCAACAATTAGACATGATGATCAATCGTGGCTGAATTTCCTCTATCCTTTGAAACATGTCCTCCTGAGCTTCCCTGTCACCAAAATTTCCGCGCACATCCACAGAGTCATAGACACGCCAACCCCATCGGGAGAAAGATTTGGCTACCTTAACCTGACCGTCATGAATCTCCAACAAATCTGGCCGTGCCCTCGACAAAGATGGCACTGCCTGGATGGCAGCGCCGAGGAGTGCAGCCGAAGTGATGCACACAGCTGCTGTTAGCGCTTTGGCATTCCCCAGCAGTCTCTTGATGACCCCTTTCTTCAAGTGAGCCCTCCTAGCTTGACCCACTTTGATGCGGCTACGAACCTCCTCGGGGTCCAGAGGCTGCCGGTTTTCCTGATCTTCGACACTCAGGCTGCTCAGGCGTGATCCTTCTTGTCCGTCGGTGCTCCATTCTTCGCCTGCCGCTTCTCGATGATCATCTGGAGCTCGTCTTTGGACACGTTCGCATTGAAGACCTTCTCCTGGTCGCTCCCCGTCTCGTCGTCCACCGGGATCGCTTCGGCCTTTGCCCAAGAACCATCCGACGATGTTGCCAGACTGTTTGGCCCTCGTTTTCCGTTCATCGGCTTCGAGGCTGCCTCTTGCTTCTGGATCTTGTGGAGCTCCATTTCCTGCTGCACATCTTTGGTCGGCCTCCCGTCGTACGTCATCGGTAATGTGCACTTGCAGTTGGGGAAGCGGAGGCATCCGTAGAAGTCCTGTCGCGACAACCTGTTTGTCCGAACCATCATCGGTATCTTGCAGGTTGGGCACACTGGGTGTGGATGGTCGCATTGATCGTCGAGCAGCTGGGCCTCTTCCACTTGGATCACCCACATCTCCAGCTCCAAGATCAGGGCGCTGCGCTTCCAGCGGCTCCAGTGCCCATCCAGATCCCTCCCGAGATCCGACGCTGCCTTCTCGGCATACAACTGCTTCAGTGTCTCCACATCGAACTTCCTCCAGTTTGCCGGCAGGACACTGTACTTCTTGGGCTTGAGCGCAGCCCAAATCTCCTTCAAGCGATCCGTCGTGCGCTGTCGGAGATCCGGTTCCTTGACTTGACACCTTGCCGCAATGGCCTGCACGAAATCCTCCTTGCGCTTCGGCGCTGGGATCTTCACACTGCCCATCCCGGAGCTCACACCCTTCTTCACGATCTACAGGCGCGGGCTTCAGCTGGGTTTCAAACTGAAAAAGCTGCGGAGTTTTGCTCATGTCATCCCTGCTCTGGTGAAGCGGCTCTCGGTCTTGAGATGACATGAAGGCTGGCTCATGCTCTCTATGCTCCCCAAAGGTCCTGGATCGATTCTTGGCACGATATGGAAATTTCAGCTTGCTGAGCACCTTCCAGCAGATCTCATCCACCTCGGCTGTCTCTCGAACACTATAGACCGACAGACACCATCGTTCTCCGGTCCACTCATGTGTAGCATGTCGTAAATGCGGATCAAACTCACGAGGATTCTGGAAAGTGGATGTCAATCTCCCAGGTCGGGATATCCCATTGAGGTCCTGTTTCCAAACGACATCTGATGCTGAAGAATCCTCGTCATGCCCTAGCTCTACCCATAGCTCACCTCCTTGGAAGTGGCCGAAGGTCACCGAGGTCGTCTTGCTTCCCTTCCGGTTGTTTGAATCCATGTGCATTTGCATGTGAACATCACGTGCAAGGTAGAAGGACGTCCAAGGATGATCTACTTTGTCTCGCATGAAAGTATTGATATACCGGACAACATTGGGATACCTCACTGTCTTCTTCGTAAGGTCACACTTGTTCCCGTGCACATACAATCCACCAATCCAAGGCAAGTTAATCGGGCCTTTGCCTCCCGCTGCATTTCGATGTCGTACTCCATGCCCAGTTGGTAGATGCCTCGCCAATTCGAGCAGTGCTTGGTATGTGAAATCCTTTTTACGCAGTAGGGACTTGGCAAAATCTTCACACTCCTGTCGAAGACTTCTCGGGTTCCCACTGAAAGGAGACTCCGATGAGTTGCCCGTCTTGACACTCATGATGTTCTGCATGACCTGCGGGCTGTTTCCCACGATAATTTCATCTTCACCTTGAAGCACCGGTTCTTCGAAACGCCTGTGGGCTTGGGGCTTTATCTTGTTGATCTCGAAGCCGCATAGTCCCGTTTTGGTTTCCCTCAACTGAACTGTGGTGTTCAACTCGGCGAATCTCACGGTTCCCTCTGCAAGGTTCATGACTGCGCCGAGATGCTTCAGCACCGCTTTGCTCAGCAGGAGAGGAACGTCCTGGTCGACAATGCTCACTCTCAGTTGCACAGCCTTTTCTGCTCCCTGTAGGTGTAGAGGTATGATGGCTGCATAGGACGACATCACTCGAGGTCCCCCTCCAAAGCGAAAGGGACGGGCCTCGTCGACGATGTAGACATCTTCGTGCATAGCATGCAGGTGATGCATGTGCTTCCGCATCCATCGCTCTCCAGCCACTGTCCTTGCGCAACATGTATCACTGAGAGCCATGACATACTTGAGTGGGTCTCGTGCACCTCGGAGGGACTTCCGATCTCCACAGACTTCCTGCAGCACACAGCTCTCCTCGATGCAAACGAAGACATCTTCGTTCTCCGGTTCCCCGTCGGGTCCAAACTCCTCGTCATCACTCGCACTGTCGGTCAACTGTTCCTCAACAACAGCCAAAACGCTCTTGTCCTGGTTCTTCTTGTTGTAGGGGCACGTCGCATCACTATGCCAGTGCCCATATACAGTCTTCCCATGAGCCTTACAGGCACTACATGGCATTTTGGCTTTCATCTGCTTGATTCTCTGCTCCCTCTCCTGGGAGCTCTCCGTCTTCGCGAAGCCCCTGGCCTTCTCGATCTCTGCCCGCTTGCGAGCTGCCTGTGTGAGCAGCACTTCTAGCTCTCCCTCAAGCTCGCTAGCATTCTCGGATGCCTGCCCCGTCTCTTCATCCTCATATTCTTCATCCAATCCATCTCCCCCATCCATGGTTGCATGCACCTGTCGCGGGGCATGATGAGGTTTGGGTTTCCATTGTCTATGCGATGCACTCCTGGGAAGGTGGTTCTGGTCCTCGTCCTTGCGAACCTTCGGTACAATGGCCATGAGCGCTTTCCTCAAGCGAGTGTAGTCATACTCACCCCCTGCCGCAGCCACCACTTGTTTACGAAGGTCCATGGAGAGTCCCGCCTTCTCCAAGAACCAGTACGCCTTGGTCACCCCATCGATCTTGCCGCCAATCTCCTCAAGACGTTTTAGGTGAGCTCGGAACTCGAGGTCAAACGCAACGAACTCTTGCCCAGCACCACGTCTGAAGTCCTTGTAGAACTCGGTGAGGGTAGTGAAGATCTTCAGGTGCTCAAGAGGTTCTAACTCCTGCCACAAGTGTTTGAGCAGCCGATCCACTCCCTGGGGGTGTTTCAAGAAGTCAAGGTCGATTGACTCGGTCGCCAACCAGGCCTGACCCGAGAGCTTCTCCATCAGCTTCTGAGCACGATACGATGGGTCAATCCCCGTACTGCTCTCAAACAGTCGCACCCTTCTCTCATACTCACGCATGGCTGTCAATCCCGAAAACTCTGGTATGTGATCCTTCCCCGTCTTAGGATTCTTAGAGGCCTGGCTGCTTCCGGCGTCGCTGCCCTTGTGGTTCTCGATGTCGTCGGGTCCCTCCAATTCGTCGGAGGGAAATGTGGCTTCTGTCGATGACTGTACAGACGCTCTCCTATGTCCCGGTCCTCCATTGGCACCATCATCGGCTTGTCTTGCTTCTCCTTCGCCACTGGTTTCACCCAGATCGCCTGGCCAACTAGACCGCGACTCCCCTGGCTGTTGCTGCCATGAGTCAGGTCTTCCCCACCAGCCTTGCCGTTGCTGTTGCCAATCTCCTGGTCTCCAGGTCGCTTGACCATTCCACATCGCGCCATGCCATCCCATCGCAGCTGGATAGCTCCACCAGCTTTGCCACTGCCAAGCCCCACCATGATGATCATCACCAGGTGGTCGAGGGCCGCCATCGCTTGGCCCTTGCGGATCACCTGCATCAGGGATAGTTGCCATTCACCCTGCTCCGCGGCACCAATGCGAATCACTGGCCTAGTGATCACCGCCAAATCAAAAGCCCAAAGGACGCGCCATCCTTTTCGCCAAGCTACCGAGAGCCGCAAAGCTTCGGTGAACGGGCTGAACGTTCACATGACAAATCGGCCCATCAACAATCGAGACACGACAGGTCAGGCATGCCCTTACTGCACTTTCACACTTTTGACCTTTCACAAAGCCTTATGCGCCCCGCCGGCGCCTTTGTTGGTTTTAAGGCTGTTGAATCTCTTGAAGAGGGCCTGCCTCTCTAGCCTTTCTTTGGCTGGGCTAACTGGGGTTCATGGCTGTGGAGGTGCTGCCTCGTAAGCTGGAGAGTCAACTAGTGGCATCTCGCCATACGTGAAGAGAGGAGACGACAACTAAGCGAAGGCTAGTGGGATGTTGAGATGGAACAGGCAATCCGCCGAGCCTTGGGCCATAGGTGTCTAGGGAGCATAATTTAAAGCAGGTACCCCACCTTTAATCCCCTCCCCGACACTTGCGTCCCACAGGTGAAGGGTGCATTTTCGGCTCGTTCACACCCCCCCGACCCGCCCCCGCCCCCCGCACCCCAATCGGTGAGCCTCGTCTTCACATGCGGCTGCACAGGCCCCGGCCGAGGCGGGTCGCGTAGCGTTAAAATTATGCTACGCTGATGGTTTCGGTTTGTTGCAGTCTTCATGCTTGCACTTTCGATCTCTCGATCTCTCGTCCGCAGGCATTTATAACAGCCTCAGTCTACTGAACCCGAGCACCGCATACCGACATGCTCCCCTGGCGGAGTTCAACAAAAACAAACCTCAGAAGCGCCAAATTTTTTCATGTGGAGAGTGGCACTGGGCCTGGATCAGCAAGTGGCTGAAGTTCCTGCCCAGAAATTTTCGACTAGAGGATCGGAGGCGTTAGGGGGTTGGACCCCGGTCTCGAACGGCTAATGCACTGTGGATCTCTGTAAATAAGGGGCAGGAATGGCGAAGGGCCATCTACTTCCATCTACTTGCATCCAGCAATTAGAAACCCAAAGCCACTAGCAGAAGGGACAAGTTTGGCGGGTTCGGGGTCTTCGAAACCACGTGGTCCCAAGTCCTCTTCAGGTGACCCAGTCCGAAACCGCAAAACCGCGTGCTCTTGCGTAGGAGTCTAGGATCATCATTTTGGCTGAGGGTCTCCACGGCTGCATTGGAGCAGAGGCCGAGTTCTATGGCACGTGCTTACGAGAGAACTTAAGACCCCAGACCATGCTTCGACGGGCCCTCCGAAGTGCAAAGGCCGGCACTTTTGCACGCATGCAATGAAATAGGACTAAGCACATCCGGAGGAGGAGAGCACTTTCTGGCGACTCCCATGCAACCAACATCCCAAACAAAATCATGCCATTTTCCGGTTGCGCCATTAAACCTGAGCTGCGGGAGGTTGGAGAACGAGCACGAGCTTCTGTTCGAGTGCTGTATTTCTGGGGTACATGGGACAACCTAAGTGGATCCCGGACATGTTGAGCAGAGGAACGGTCAGGTTGAGGGTATTGAGGGCCAGGGCGTTGCTGGTTTTGGGCTAAGCCACACCAGAAACCGCCTCTGAGGTTGCGAAGCCCTTTTGGTTGAAGAACCTCGGCTTAAAGCCCAATTCATGAAGCCCATCCCAAGCCTTTCTGTGCTTGTCGAACCTCAAAGGCCAACCCCCAAGCCCCCCGATGTGCCGCAAGGACGCCAGCTCTTCCTTGGTCTTGACCTTGGTGGCCGAGCCCCACAATGGTGAAACTTCTGTAAGGCTGGATCATGCTTATGGTTTCACAAGGAGCTGCGCGGGCAGCAACAGAGCAGAGCCACTGAGCAGACACAAGGGGATGCAAAAAAAACATCTTCCAAAAACACTCCCGCAACGCCCCCCCCCCCCCCCCCCCACCCCGCACAGGTGAGGAAACTGCAGCCAAGCATCCTGAGCCTTTTTGCCCTGCACAAGACTCTTTCTTCGCGAGGGCTTTGAGAAACAAACGGAGAGCTTTCTTTTGCAGGACGGGTCCCGAAGAAGGTTCCTAGAGCATGAAGTGCAGTCTCCACTATGCAGGTACGTAGAGATACTGCGAATTTGCCGGGCGTATTTCGGCATGGGGCACGGAACGTCGACGTTTAGGGCTGGAGTTTACGGGCTCGGCTTAGTAAAACATGACGTTCAAAGGACTTGGAAGAAGGACGTGTGACAAGCCACCCCATCCCCTCAGGCTCTGCATTGTCTCACGATGCCCGTGAAACCGCCAGAGAAACATCAACTCTCAGTGCCTTCTTTTCGGGCATGGTCCAATGGTCGACTTGTAGCCTTCTCAGATTGAAAGGGATGTTGGGAGAGATGTTGAGGGTCGATGTCCAACAGGCCTCTGCTGTGGCAGACCCCCTGAAAATACCTCCGAAGCCCCAGAGTTTCTCCTAGTGCAGGCTCGGACTCTCAACCCTAAGCCCTGGGCTGCTGAGCCCCGCTGACATATCCACACTTGCTCACACCTCTTCGCCCATCTGTTCACACCTTTCTGAACACCCTTCACCTAGGTTGGAAGATTTTCCTACTAAGTCTGAGCCTTTGAGGGCAGCGGCCTTAAGGTGCTAGGACTCTGGGGGCTGAGGAACATTGCTTGGTGCTGTAGCCGGTGGGTACAGGCCCTTTTGATTACAAATGAATCCAAAATTTAAATTCGAAGGCCCAAACCCATAGCTTCAAGAAAACCACCTTCCTCGACCGGTCTGAAACGCGCCGTCAGTAACCCTAGACCCACAGCGGGCCCTGGCCGTTGCGAGCTCGTCGTGTCTGCGTTGTTGCCTACACTTGCCTTATGGTCTTACAAGAATACACCAGCGTGCAGCAGCGCGAAGCCGCGTGAAAGTATATTGCTGACAAAGGCAGCGCCAAGAAGCGTGTTGCCGTTCAGCTCGGAGCCGTCGAGAGCTGTGATCACTGTGAGAACATCCTCCTCTGAGTCGTAGGCCTGGGCTGAAGGCCAACAAGAAACTGTTGGGCCTAGAACAGGAGTGTTTGTGAGGTCTCTCCAGGCATCTTCAAGCAGCAGCAGCAGCAGCAGCAGCAGCAGCAGCAGCAGCAGCAGCAGCAGGCAGCTTCAGAGAGAACCCTGGCGGAGCAGTCTGGTTGGACCCCCCAGGGAGCACTCGATGATGGTCTGTGAAGAGACTCCTTGAGTAGCCGAGCCACACAGATGCCTCGCAGGCGTGTCTTTGAGCGTTTTCGGCTCTTGAGGCGCTCTCAGTTTATGCAGAGGGGCGGTGCTGCTGTGTCACTGTTGCCTGAATCTTGATCAAAAGGTGCAGCCACTGAGAAAAACCGAAACAAGAAACCCGAAGGGCCCGGAGAGCGCGCTCGCCTGTGTTCCTGTAGATGTGCGTCAGCTTGGGCTTGGCGACCACAGCGAGGTGTGCCTCAAGCTCTTTCCTTGGCCACACGCAGGCGCGCCGGAGTGGCTGTGGGGAGTGAGGATATATATCGCACTTCGGAGCTTAGAAGGAGTTTAGGGCTTCAGAGGCATGCAAATGCGTGACAGGAGGCCATGTGGTACCTTCCGCTAGTCCGCCGACCCACACCTCTGACAGCAGAAACGCCGAGGAGATAAAAGTGCAGCCCCCTTTGCCGAGAGATTAAAGAGTCCAGACTTTAACAGCTTTTTTGTAAAGTTTCAGGCTCGAGGTGCGGTGTTCTGTAACACTTTCGTTTTTGAGGCTTCCCCGTCCCAAACTGCTGAGCCCTTCGAACATTCACACCACATAGGGACAAGTCTGAAGGAATGGCCTTCTGAGTGGCGGTGAAGGCTGCAAGCTTCTCCTGCTGTTGCCATCTTCGGTGGGGGTCATGCTGCTGAGATAACTCTACACTCTACATACTCAGCCAAAGTAAGCCTGCCAGTCCGATGATTGAATCCCCCTAAACCCTAAACCCTACACCCTACACCCTACACCCTAAACCCTAAACCCTAAACCCCACAACAACTCCTTCATCTTTTCGTCAGCTGCGCTCTTGCCCTTTCCGGCACCCTTGGCCGTCTTACCCTGGCCAGGGAAGGGCCCTTCGGGGTCTTGAGAGCCCTTCAAGGTCCCAGGGGGGACCTTGGGTTCAAACCGCCCTTTGGGTGTTTTGGCATGTTTCATTGCTTAGGCTGAGGGGTGCTGCTATACCTTCTGGAACATGTCTAAAGAGTGCCCGGTGAGGTTCTCCACACTCTGTGGGAGAGCCCTTGGCCTGAGCATTTGGGACACGCACAGCGGCCTCTGAATGGAGCAAGTGCTGGCTAAGAGCGACAACAGATGAACTTCTACACTCGGAAACCACAAGACTTCTCATGTCGTCCCTCCTCCCCAACAAGCTCTGAAGCGGTTCTGCGGAAGCATGAAGCAGCTAGGCAAACCAGGACTGTGTCTCCTTGGTGTGTGAGGGCTTCAGGGCTTTCTGACTGAGGATATTTCAGGCAGTCTGCAATGGCTACG